CTAAGGGTTATTGTGGTTACTATGTTCACCGAGATATGCATGTTAAGAGCGAGGCTTCCTACGTGCCTTGAAACCAACTATGGGATTTGGCTTGATAGCACCAACCCACGAGCCATAATCTCAAGCTTGATTGAATGCCTTACTTCCTCTATATTCCTATTATACATAGACAAGTCTTATGTAGTTAAGGACAGAAGTCACATAGATCCGACTACTCCGGTTATTCAAGCACCAGGACCACAAGGGTGTATGCTTTAACATCTTTGAAGAGATTAGGTTGCCTACGTCAAATCCGAAAGCTTCTTCCTACATATGTATGTGACCGTGCGTCTGCATGTAACATAGGAATACCGATGTAGAGTAGATCTTCCATCTGTCATATTTCCTCAATCAGAGCAGATCAGCTATTTGGTATACCCAGGCAATTTATCTATCTATAGAACATGTTCCACAAGGATACCAGCTCCTGTGAGATATATATATTCTATTCATTTCCCATAAATTATCATGACATGTCATGCCAGCACAGCTTGACAGAGCAAAGAAGAGACTTCATAACGCTACTTACAACCAAAATTAAATCAAAGACCCCATATTCGCATGAGAATGCCCTCCACATGGGTCAGGTAAACCGGGTGCTGATTGTGGAACGCCATAGGGATCAATGAGTCCGGTCCGAATCGCACCCACGCCTTCTTTGAGATAAAGCACAAGCCGGTAGGCCGAGTTGCCATTCAAGTAATATCGATGGAGCTGTTTGCTACGAAGGAAGCCCAGCCGCTCGTACAATTTCATCGCGCCGGTATTGGTGATTTCGGTTTCGAGGACGATCTACCAAACACATACAAGTCAGCCCTCATACCCTCAAGACCATCCCGTTTGGAGAGCAACAGCCATCTACGCTGTGTAGACATACCTCATCTGCATCCCGCTCAATCATAGCATCGATAGCCATGCGCACTAGCTTGGTTGCAATTCCCCGGCCCCGGTACTCTTCGCGCACGGCCAGCATGGCGATATATCCTCTCAGCGGGCCGTCGCGGTGTGGCTCTAGCTTCGATACCACGACTCCGACCATCTCATCCTTATCATCCATCGCGAGGAAACACAGGTCGCCCCATTGGTATAGGAAATAGCGGTAGACGTAGATGCTGTAAGGTTCGGAAAGATCTTTAGAGATCAGCTGGCGCATTGCGGCGACATATTCATTTTCGCGCGACTTTTCGTATCGCACGTAGCGAAGATCAGGAGCATTGCTCATCACCGCGATGTCATCGAAGTGGGCTGATGGTTGGAGTTGACGGAGGGTGGGGGGCGGTTTGTTGTCGAAGAAAGTTACTCTCTGCCATGTGATGCCGATCCGTCCGTTCGCGGACTTTATGCACTTCCGTGTTTTTTTACTCCCCTTCCATTTCTTACTGACTTTCTTTTTCTTCAAATTTGTTGCCTTTATCAATCTTCAAGGGAAATCACGTTCTCTTCTTCTTCTTCCTTCCTCGCGGTTGGTCGATATGTTCCGCCGCCGCACGGGCAAGGACAAGGCCTCGCCCTCTAACAAAGATAGCGGAGCTACAAGAGCCAAGGAGGAACAGCCTCGTGCGGAGATTCATGAGACACAAGTCAACCAGCAGATAATTATCAAGCCCCGGAGTAAACGTCGCAATGGGTTCATCTTCATGCTCGGCGGGTTCTTCGGCATCTTCGTCGCATTGTTCTTCGCGAGCCAGCATGAGGTCATAAGTTTGGATTCGCTCATGGATCTGAATCTCGACTCATGGATTGAGGCTATTCCACAGGGAATTGTCAGCGACGTGAAAGAATTCTCGGTACGTGCCTTGCAAGGGAATGCTCTTATCTCTGCATGTGGTTACCATGTGACTGACTTTCAACGGGGATATAGCAACATGAACGCGATACCGTCAGCTATGATTCATTTGCTGTTGGACTACAACTTCGAGCTCAGGGCGTAGAAGCCAAACACCCCGTTGTGATGATCCCCGGAGTTATCTCTACTGGCTTAGAGAGCTGGGGCACGGGGGAAACTTCGCGACAATACTTTCGCCGACGATTATGGGGCAGCTGGAGCATGATGAGAGCGTTAGTCATGGATAAAGCTGAATGGAAGAACCATGTCATGCTCGATCGGGATACAGGCCTTGACCCGCCTGGCATTAAGCTCCGTGCGGCGCAGGGATTCGATGCCACGGATTTCTTTATCACGGGATATTGGATATGGAATAAAATCCTGGAGAACCTGGCTACCGTTGGTTATGACCCGACGAATGCGTTTACGGCTGCGTATGATTGGCGACTATCATACCTCAACCTCGAAGTTCGCGATAGGTATTTCACTCGACTCAAGTCCTACATCGAGACCGCGGTGCAGGTACAGGGCGAGAAAATCACATTGGCATCGCACAGCATGGGATCTCAGGTGGTATTGTATTTCTTCAAGTGGGTGGAGAGCGAAGATCACGGAAAGGGCGGCAAAGACTGGGTTAACAAACATATCGACTCGTGGGTCAACATCAGTGGCTGCATGCTGGGCGCCGTCAAGGGATTGACCGCCGTCCTGTCCGGAGAGATGCGGGATACAGCACAACTGAACGCCTTTGCCGTGTATGGACTGGAGAAATTCCTATCGAAAGAGGAGCGCGCGGAGATCTTCCGCGCGATGCCCGGTATCTCCAGCATGCTACCAAAAGGTGGTGAGGCCATATGGGGAAACTCGACCTGGGCACCAGATGACCAACCAGGTCAGCCTTTGACCTTCGGCAACCTGCTCCACTTCCAAGACTCCAACTCATCATTGACATCACGCAATCTCACCACGCCAGAGAGTCTTCAGTACCTCCTGGACCAGAGCGAGGATTGGTACCGGAACCAGGTTCTGAATAGCTACTCGCACGGCGTCGCGCATACAAAACGCGAGGTCGAAGCCAACGAGAAGGACCCGCGCACCTGGCTCAACCCTCTAGAGTCGCGCCTACCCCTGGCGCCAGACATGAAGATATATTGCTTCTATGGCGTGGGTAAACCCACAGAGCGCAGCTACTTTTACCAAGAAGAGCCGGACCCACTGGTCAACCTCAAGGTCAGCATGGACACCACCGTCACCAACAACGAGGGCGTCGACCACGGCGTTTTAATGGGTGAGGGTGATGGCACCGTGAACCTGCTCAGCACGGGATATATGTGCGCCAAAGGCTGGCGCATGAAGCGCTATAACCCAGCCGGCACAAAGATCAAGGTCTTTGAGATGCCTCACGAGCCTGACCGCTTCTCACCCCGTGGTGGTCCCAACACTGGTATGTACCCAATTGCATTCTTGCGTACTCTTTTCCCACTATCAATGGACATGACAGGCGACTAACATCATATAGGTGACCACGTGGATATCCTAGGCCGTGCCTCACTCAACGACCTTCTTCTCCGTGTCGCTGGCGGCAAAGGCGATTTAATCGAAGAAACTTTCGTTTCGAAAATCCGCGAGTATGCGGATCGTGTACAAATCTTTGACGATGAATAGATCGAATGGGTTTGCTTATGACAGTTGTGGATAATTGTTTTGTTTTGATACACCTCTTTTTAGACATCTGGAACTTTTTCTAGACGGGGTTTATTACTGAGCTTTTTTTTGTACATTTCTTTATGAACCCTTATATGAATACATTATATTTCTATAATACCATGTAATCATTTGATAGATATAATACTCAAACCATGTCAATACATCAGTTCCAACTTGTCGGAAAAGCACGGATACAGCTTCTTTCTAGCCCTAAAATTAGTTGACTTATGCAAGAGCAATCCCGTGTGATCGACGGAGCTGGACTCTTTATTGGCCATAAAAAGACAACATGCTCCATCTAGTGTGGATTCCTTATCGTACAGGCGGGGTTGTTCTTTTCACAGGATAAAGGTAATCGTATACTACAGTGTTTACTATATATACAAAGACAGAAATGAAGATAATGTACATTCATTCAGTACGCTGATTAAAAATAATGCTAGCAATACCCGTGGACCCAACAGGATCTCACCGTCAAAGTAACGATAACAGGCACCCGAACAAGCAAGTCGTATGACAGGAGGTGTGGATGCATTAGGTTGTCGGCTTCATTCTCGACTAAAAGCGAGAATGGGCTGAGGGGGATCTGGCCTTCGTCAAAAGTACCAAGATCCCCGTTCTAGCTGCTATGGTCACTCGAGCTCTGCAAGCAAGAGTCCCAGCTTTCAATGTCCCCCTTCTTTCCTTTCCTCATATCTGTGAAGAATCCACACGCCAACGCCGATCACCTGCCAGGCGTAGACACAGAGGGTAGATCAAAATATCTTTTGAAAACCCTTGTGCCGATGCAAAATGTCGTAAAACAGCAAATATTCACAAATCCTTCTAGTGCACAGCGAGTGGTGGTGCAGCAAAAAAGCGCCGAAAGAACGCGCCGAAACTTTTCATCTCTCCGAAAAAAAATAGTTTAAAGTTCCCAGGCGCCTATGATGAGCGAGCGACACGAATGGTAAAAAGTATTTGTTCATCTGGACGAGCCGAAAGCAAAAAAAAAAAAAAAAAAGGTTGCCCGTCCAGTTCATAAAGTCGTAGCGAAAGACATGGGTCAGAAAATAAAGGGGATCACCCGAGGGCGTCCGAGAATGTGTACAAGCGAATGTTGCCGAAGGTGGCAGTGCGGGAGGATTGGCGTATGCAGGCAGGTGAACAAGGCCCGATCCCTTCCACCACTGGTATTAATATTATAGACGGAGTTGCCAGCCCAAAGTGGGCTGGTGAGGCATGTACAGCCAGAAGGTGAAGAGTACCTTCAGCTCGAGGCGGAAGTACCGCGCGAACCGGAGGTTTTATTAAAAACCTTAAGGTGTCGAAGATTGCTCGATGCAGATAATGTTCCCAAACATTGTCGTCAAACATAAAACGCCGTTTCGAAAGTAGAAGATGCAAGAATGGACTGTGCTCAGCCACATGTGCAAGTGAGGCTCGAGGATTAGCGTCCAGCCTCGATGTCGTGATTCGAGGTGAGAGTTTCGCTTTCCCAGGTGTAATGATCATCCACGGGGCTCAGAGAACCGGAGGAAACGGACGAAGAAGAGCCCACGGTCCACTCGTCGCTATCCAAGTTGAAATCGCCATCTAAGCTAGCAAGATCATACCCGGACTCGCGAGAATAATCACCGATCTCAACGTAGTCGTAGTCCCAGCGGAACATCTTGTCGGACTGGACTCGTGGCAGGAATCGGGTCTTGGCAAAGTAGAAGGCCACTGTGGCAAGCAAGCCACCGCAGACCAAGTCGACTGCGTAGTGGTGAGAAAGATACATGGTAGCCCACCACATCCACAGAGTGTAGGTAACCCAGAGGGGCTTCAACCGCGGGAAGACGTGGCTCATGAACAGTGCTGCTAGGGTGGAGTCGGCAGCATGGAGCGAAGGGAATGCTCCGAAAACAACAGGGGACTGCTTGAAGCCCGAAGTATAGAGATCGATACCCAGCAGCTTGTCAATACGAGCAAGACCAGCTGGGTTTCCCTGCATTGAGTAGTCGGCTGGAGCCAACCCATACAGATTCTCATACCAGGGTGGCGAGCAGGGGAAGGCCAGCTGAACAAAGACCGCAACCATGCTGATGTATCCGAGAGTCCGGGCGTACAGAGGGGTAGTTCCCGGGGGGCCGAAGAAGAAAAGAATCAGCGAAACAACAAACGGCGCACCGTAATGGCAAAGTCCGTAAGGAATCCATGCCAGAATGTCGAGGACAACATTTTGGTGGGCGGATAGGATGTTGCTGATGTTGGCACCGTACAGGATGTTTTCCATGGCTGGCAACACCCGGACCCAAATGGCAGGCCGCCAATCGCTTGGAACGAATCTGGAGAGATTAGAAAGGTCCCCATTGTGTGTCGCATTCACATCCCCGTACGTTCCTGGCAGGCGCATGGGCTGAAAGGAAACTCAATAGAAGGCAAAACTTACTGGCATCCATAGAAGAAGATAAGCCACCCAGCCACGGGGAGGAAAGGCAAGAAGAATTGTCGGGTAATTGGCATGAGGAGAGAGCATAACAGTCCGGTGGCAATCGCGGTCTTTCCCAGTGGACCAGGAGATTGGATGATTGTCAAGGAGAAAATGCCGATGATGAGGAGCAACAAGTATTGGAAATCATACATTGTCCACCGGTGTGACTGTAAGGATCTGAGGGTGTCGACAGGGGAGAAGGAGGTTTGCAACCTCGATATGGACGAGGTGGGTGAGAGGCGGCTACGGAGTTTGGACCGGAGCTTGCGACGCATGCGATGTGGCACCAAGAGCTGGAATGAACGCCATGGCACTTGGATTTGAAGCTTTCCAAACTGATTCTGGGTGCGATCTTTCCATGACGGATAGGAGGCGCTCATGTTTGCGACTCTCCTCCAGGATATCCGGATCGCGTTGGAAAGGGGGATGAGAATTCAAGGAATTCAGGTGGAGACGGAAGGAATTCGCGTGACGGAAGGTGATTTATGGCCAGAAGAGAGGCTCATGAAAAGGTGAGATGGGCCGATAGGAAGGCGAAAGATAGGGCCGAGGGGCGTGAGTCCCAGGGAACTCAGGAGGTCACGTTGACAAGGGTTGGGATGCAAGGAGAAGAAGGGCGCAACCGATGAAACCCAGGATAAACAGAACTCGAGAAAACCTAGGAGACCACTTAATGCCCTAAAACGGAGATATTAAGAATTAAAGAAGAGATGGGAAGAGGAAGGGGAGGAAAAGACCTGGATTTCACCCATGGACTGAAGTATTGACGTATTCGTATTTACCAATATCTAAAATTTGGGCGTAATTTTCCCCGTATTATATCCAGCGCTTGATTACACTTAGAATTTTATGTGTCGACTACTAGTCCTATGTAGGTATGTATGGCGTCACTAGTACGGAGTAGTTGTGATATTACATTTTATCTTTTCTTTCCTTTTTCAGGCACGGAGTACAGATATAAGTATTTCCATTTAACTACATAGTATCTCATCTGCTATTGCAATTCTGACCGGAGCCCTCGGCAGTATTCAATATTACAGTCTGATTTGACTCGGAAGCCACGGAACGGAGGACGGAGATCACATTTCTGCCCGGTGGCATATCTCGGACATTGTTATGCCAATGCTCCGACATGTTGGTCTTTTTATGCAGAAGGCACCGAAACTCCCGATACGACTGTCTACAATTTATCTAGAGTACTATAACTTGTATATTATGTAGGAATATATATACTTACCTAGTGTACCTCAATGACCTAAAGACTTTTAGCCATCTTCAACCTCGGAACCATGGAAACTTGGAAATCATTGCTTACCTATTCTGTAATACAAAATTACAGCTGGAACGCAATTTTCGCAAATTTTCCATATAAGATCCATCGCCGAAATTTGATTGGCTGATTTTCCTTTGCCCCCACTGGCATCGTTCGGTCCCGGTAACAAGAGAACTTCCTAATTTCGCTTATGCACAGCTTGTAATCTTACCAACCGTTGTCCTGGCGATTCAAAACTAATATTGAGGCTATCAGCCCAACGGCCAACGGCCAACGTCTAGATGCTATACGAAATAATTTATAGTAACATTCAGAACCCGTATGCCGAGCCACATACGATCAATACTGCCGGTTTGACAAGCTCAACCCGGTTAGGAGAAAATGTCACACTATTAGGCCCGTTTTAGGGGGCCGGCGCGTAGATGAGGATTTGCAGGCTATCATCTAATTATCCCCTGGGCTCAGGGGACAATAACCCCTTAGGGGATAACCAGCCTCCTCATTTAAACAACAACCAGTGTATGGAGTACGGAGCACAGCATCTCTGCTGTAAAAAGACGGCACAGCTGTGATTGAATATGCCCTCCACCCCTTGTACGTGATACACATGCGTTTCAGAATTCAAGTGTCGCGCGACCGCAGCCAATCACATCTTGACTTCATCTCCAAGGCGTCAAAGCTCCCTGGGCATTTTACAATATAGGCAGTTCTTACTCCGTAAGCTATTGATTATGTGACTCTAGTATAACTCCGTTGCCTAAATATCCCGAGGCCTATTATTACAATATTGAAACGTTTTTTGTCAAATGAATACGACCATCGTATTCGTATCTAGGGGCGGCTGCCTAGATGTGGGTTCAAGCTTAGAAGTGATGCAAGGCTGATGTGTAGAGCTGCGCCACAGATATGAAGTCAAGCTGTAATATGCTAGGAAGGTTTGGTTCGCCTTGCTAAACCTCATTGGGATTTGGGCACAGGTCAAGAATGTCAGATATATTCTTAGACTCGGTGAGCTCACTGCCTAATTTGCTTCATCACAAGAAGTAGTCAGCCACTTATACGGCCATGTGATGCCTTTTCCGTGGTCTTCTTATATGTTCCGCTTGGATATCTTGAGTTTCATAGGTAGATGGCGAAAATAGTAGAAAAATGCTTTATGAAAACGACTTTCCCATATATAGCCTGGGATATGCAGATGTGAGACTCGATTTGCGTGAGCCCTTGGTGTCGCACAGAGCATATATCTCGCACACATTTGAATGGCATTCCACGGTAATTTACGTTTGACATGCCCGTGCTCATTTGATACCTATGATCGACGTTTCTGCGTCGTCGATCCTACCAGGCTGTCACCTTACATCCCCGCAAACCTGAAGCGGTCAGTGGGGAATATGACTACATACATCTTTTTGCACTTTACTTTGTTCCTCATAAATATAGGTCAGAGCTACATTTCTAGATACTAACTTCGAAGCTGGAATATTAGTTCTTTTCATTCTTTTTTTCAGATGATACTTCAAACCTATCGTGACCTTCCAGATTTGATGCTTCAAACGTTAGAACAGGCCTCCTCACCGCCAAGCCTTGGGATAGTCCCTTGGGATAGTCACACGAGCTATATTTTATGAAACTTTCGTCTTCTTCCCTATCCGGGAAGGGTATAACTAAAAGCGGCAGTTATTTGAAACGCCATACCCAGTGGTATTGTCTTTAGGAAGAGTTGGACATATGTAGTAGAGAGCCTTACAACTTGAATATAGTACTCCATATGGAAGTTGAAATATCTCTTGCCGCAACTATGTTTCAAATCTTAAGGGCTATCATCCATTTATCAACTGTCTATTATAATAGATAAGGCGGCTACTTAAAATAACATGAAACCGCGAACAGAAGCCTCGAGGTTGGGATGCGCTAGGAGAAGTATATGCGCGCTAGATGAAAATGTGTTTCAAGGCAAAAAGATGTTGGAAATAAATATAGTCTAAATTCTCGTACCTAGAGCTATGTGCTTGGTTAAGGGAAGGCTCTTTACTCCGTACAGAGTACATTGGTGAAAACACCTCGGCAAGAAGTGCTGATTACACCTCTTTTAGCTAAGCGCTTCTCTCGTCATTGGATATGCCGCGGCCAACAAGCCCAAAAAGGAATACTAGAGGCTTGTGCATTATGTGAGGCGCTTATTAAAAGCCGGCGTCTGATGAACAGAAAAAGATTCGACATATATATTCTGCCTTCAATCGCTATCTTCTTTTTCACCGTCTAAGCCTCCACATACCTGAGTAAGCACTGCCGAGAAATATCGGTTTCATATAAATTTCTAACAGCCTACAGGATTACGTTCCCAGTTATTGTGTTCAATATGTCGTCGTAGGTTTCAATCTATGCTGCTATCAGCATCAGTGATGGCGTGTACAAACACTGGGGTGTCTTCATCGATGCACCCAAAAAAGAAGACAAAGTTTTGCTCCAAGTGACAGGTTCAGATGGTCGATTCCGCTACGAGTTGGAAACAACAAATGTTCGAAAATCGGGAAAGCTGGTCGAGTTGCTACCCCTATATGATGTGGACCCCGCCAAAATCAACTCCATCCAGACTATCGCCAGTCAAGTTACCGTTCACAATGAGATTCGGGGCTGGAATTGCCAGGACTACGTGCTTGATCTTCTGGATGCACTAGAAAAAGAAGCGATAGTGAACAGCACAGACGCAAGTTACAAGAAGCAGAAAAAATTGCTTCATGGGAAACAGGAGGGACTGGCATAGGACGCAGTCTTCTTCGCTCTCTTCTGGCGATTGGTGACTCTTGTGCTACGGAGAGATCGGATTTTACGCTTGGCGATGTTAGGACTGACAATAATATGGTGAAACGAGACCCTAGTGTTAATGACCGCTATATTGTTACTGGAATCATTGACTAGGAGGAAGGTAGCAATTGAGTGAGCGAGTCAAAAGTCCTTATTCTGTTTTAGTTGAACAGTTTGTAGATAAAGAGGAAGTAAACCCCAACGCCAGCCGATGTATCGTGTAAGTCGCGAAAAGTAAAAAGCCGCTCAGCGCCGAACCCGTGGAACAGTAAAGAAATTTCAATGACCATTCAGTCATTCTTGTGGCCTTCAGGCCCATCAGCCAGCATCTGGAAGCCCTTCACCAGCCCCATTGCAGAACCAGCGGCAATACCACCAACCAGCACCATTTGTACACCTCCAATGAAACCCTTGCGGACATTTCGGCGACCGCGCCAGCCACTGACAAAGCACGTCTTTACATATCCGAAGATAAACAACGCAATGACCATGGTAGCAATGGACCACCGTAGGGCGACGAAGGCTTCATTAGGTCCGACAAAAAAGTATGGTATGAGAGGAATAAATCCACCGATGAAGTATCCCATGGCAATTGTCAAAGCACAGATGATAGCTCGCGAGCCCGAGGGTTCAGGTAGAGTGTGGTGGAAGTTCATGAGAAACGATGGGAGCATAGGAGAGGCGGAGAGATGATTTTTGAGTTGTGCGACCAGTTCAGAAGGCAGCTCGTAAGGCTCGAAAATGTCGGAGATGGTGTCAGATACCGAGGTAGGATCTGTCATAGTCTGCGTCTGAGTTTCTTTCAATGTAGCTTTGTATGACTCCCTACAAACATGTCAGCGGTCGAATCTCAAGATCCTAGGCTATTTTGTTAAGAGGCTCTGCGATCCAGGCAGACTTACTCCTCGCTTTTAGCACCCAAATACCCACCGAGCCCCATCGATATAGCTCCTGCGATGAGTTCTGCAAGTCCACCGAAAACAACAATTTTGGTGTCGCCCAGTGCAGATAATCCAGCAGTCAGGGCGAAAGGCACCGTCATGCCGTCCGAAAGACCGATGATGGCATCGGACACGGTGCGACCGTCGATGAAGCGGGAAGGTTTTCGCTCCGAGCCATCGCGGTTAGTGTTCCCTGTCTCGACATCCGATCGAAGTTGAGAAGGGTCCTTTTCATCCGAAGAGGAACTGCGATCAGAGAGGGGCATATAGCTCGACATGAGGCCGGTCAGGGAACTGATTGACATGGTAAAAGCAGAGAAAGCCAGTATCCCTTGAAAGAGATATGGGGAATGTTTAAGTGAAAGCGAGGGATGTAGCACTAGCCAGTTAGATCACCAGATGTAGTCATGAGCTTTTTTCATGCATCCTTTATCTTTTTTAACAAAGAAGTGATCTCCCATTATTGACCTATCGAGTGAACCAGAAAGACAACGTGCTTGGCATTCCCCTCATGAACGAGGCACGTGCAACGCTGATTCGAGGACCAGCTTTAGTGCGGGGGCCCATGTGGATCTCTGAAAGGGACTCCCGCAGCTTAACTTGAGCTCTGAAACCAATCAGATGCTGCGATTTCCAATCCAAACACTTTTTCTCCATGGACTAACAACGTCTCACGTGTCAATATAAACTATACTCGTTGGATTAGAAGAGGGATTAATATCGAGACTATCACTACAATAGATTAGTGTTGTTTATAATGGTATATCATACGACAGCCCCCTTTAAACCTCATCTCTCTAATGAACTGGGGTGGAGAATACAAGTCCGATGATGGATTTTTATCTCTGGATGTCGGATGAAAATACTGATACTCTGCTGAGGCATGGTATTCACCTCTAGGACCCTCTGTGGCAGTTTGAACAAGGTACACAGTTAGACGTAGAAGATTAGAGACAGCATGGTAATTGAAGATATACTTTCACTTCTTCACTTCTTCACCTCTCCCCTCTTTCTTGCTTCCCATTTCTTCACACTTACCAACGAAGCAGTACATGGTCTCGCATTGAACAAAAGTCACTATGATCCTCTTCTGGGGCTTCGTTCTGATGGCTCTAGCCAACTTTGCATCCACCTATCCAACTGGGGGTACTCAGGTGTGGAGCCAGCTGCGAGAGAACGTGAGTATACCCCACAGCATCTACAATCCTGAGGGACTAGATGGCTCATGAGAGCAAACCCCCAGATCAAGCATGTCATCTACCTGACTCTTGAGAACCACTCATTTGACAACATCGCTGGCTATTGGGACTTCCATCCAGACATTGACAATTTGCGCAATCTCACCTATTGCAATGACTACACCAACCCCAACTGGACAGTCTATGGGGAGCCACTGGCAATTTGCGCTGAGCCATATGCAACTGAGGTGCCACTGAAAGATCCAGATCACAACTTTGGCGGGGTCACCTATGAAATCTTTCGCGAGTGGAACCCAACCAAAGACGATGTCCCTAAAATGGCAGGCTTTGTCGAGCGCCAATCAGAGAAATACAATGCTACCCCGGGAGATTCGGTATTTGTGATCAAGGCCTTGAACGAGAAGAAGACCGCCACTCTGGCGGAGCTGGCAAGCAATTTTGCCTTCTTTGATTCATATGTGGGTTATCCATTGGTCTGCCTTTAACATGCTGCATATATCTGACCGACAACCCAACATTTTAGTTCGCCGAGCACCCGGGTCCCACTAACCCCAACCGCCAATTTGCAACCTCGGGCTCATCATGCGGTTTTGTCGATAACACTCATCAGTCTGCTGGGTTCTGGACCAATGTGACTGGAACTACTTGTGCGGTCTCAATCTTTGAATCGCTCAGCAAGAAAAATATCAGCTGGAAGAATGTGAGATAAGTCTCGTTCCTTGGTACTGACACCTGGCTAAACATTCTACATAGTATTACGAGACCGACATCATCGATGGATTCATGTATAAAGTCAGTCACTCTATACCAGTCCAAGTCTCAGATGACTAACGATAATATCAAGTGGGTGCAAGACAATGCAATTGACCGTCTCGTTCATGCAACCGAGCTCTACCATGACCTGGAAGCCGGCACACTGCCTTCATTCTCGTACCTGAACCCGGAGTGCTGCACAATTGACTCGATGCACCCTACCAGCAGCATGGCAGCAGGAGAACAGATGGTGAAGCACTTGTACGACGCCTTGCGTCGCTCCAAGTACTGGGACAATGCGTCAGTTCCCTTCTCCCTATACCGAGTGCGAAAATACTAACCCTCGAATACAGTGTTTTGATCATCAACTTCGATGAGCACGGTGGGTTTGCTGACCATGTCCCCACTCCAGTCAATGTGCCTCAGCCCGAAGACGGTATCATCTTCAAGGGCATGTCATCCAACCACAATTTTACATACGACTTTACACGTCTGGGAGTCCGGTATGCATCTTAATTTCAACTTCAGCTTCGCATGAATATTAGGCTTACCATTTTACTCTAGTGTCCCTGCCTTCATAATCTCACCCTGGGTACCTGCCAACCTCCTCATCCACGATCAAGGCACCATGTACGCCGACAATTCAGCTTACACCCATAGCTCAATCCTGCATTTCCTGCAGGAGCTGTGGGAGCTTGAGGGCTTGAATAACAGAGTCCAGTGGGCCAAGACTTTCGAGATGGCTTTCACCAACAAGAGACGAGATGATACGCCCAAGACATTGGTTCAGCCGACCTGGTATGGTGGTAGTGGACAGCCGGAACCGGAGCCGTTTTTCCTTCTGAACCAGGATGAGAGCTACTATGCACGTCGCAAGGCCGAGGCTAAGGCTCAGGCTAAAGCCCAGACTAAGGCTATGGCATAAATGATGGAGATGGAGAGTTGCGATATTATGCAACAATGGTGGAAGGCTGAGGAATGATCCTTGAATCTTCGGCTAGAGATGCGGACCTTCGTTATGTGATATCAGTATCAAGCAATGGATTGAAACCATGCATACATTTATTTCTAGGGTCATGAGAATTCAATCCAATCAATTGAACCAAGTCGAAAGGAAAATCGATACATTAGAACCCGGCATTGATTTACGAAGCAAAATTTGGAGAAATGCACGATGCATATTGATCGTCGGTTCGAAATAGAAAGTAAGACCATATACCAGGGCCTGCCATCATTCATGAAGCTTTTGAGACCATAAAGAGAAGATCAAAAATAGGTATGAACAAGAATATGGAAATATCAAAGAAGTTCATCCCTCAAAGCCGGAGTGCACGTAATTTTGGGGGACCAGCCCTTTCCCAGGGACTAGAGCATGCAATGAAACTTGTAGATGGAATAGGGATAGAAGCAGAAAATATGTCCAGTGTAGATCCGTGACCGGGGAGCGACCGGAGAAGTGTTGCGACATCTGTTGCAGAACGAGTCAGTCCGGTGGGACCCGAATAATCCAAAACGATGCAGGTCCGACATACTACTTGCGCTTCTCGGCACCCTTGTTTGGCTCCGACGAAGATGAGCCAGCCATATCCCACAGTCGGCTCTTGTATGCGGGGAAGGAAGTGTGGTTCCACATGTTGTACAGGACACTATGGGGAAAAGATCGAATCAGTCGATGCAAATAAGCAAGGGAGAAAACATAGAACGCACCTCTGTGTCCGGTCCTTATAGGCCTCATCTTCGACTTCCTTTACTTGCACTTTCATGCCGTCCCTGGTGAAAGCAATATTCTTGCGCTCCATCTTTTTGCGTGTGTTTTTGCCTACATCCTGCATGATGCTGTAGGCAACAAATCCGACCGCGGCAACGATGCCAACAAAGATGAGGAGCAGGATGAGGGGAACGAGATTGCGGGCGCCCATGGTGGGGTGTGTTTATCGAGATAACAGAGGGTAGACTATTGAATTGTGATCAAATTTGGGAAAAACGAGGCGAAGATCCGAGGATTACTCCGGGCGGGAAGAATCAAGAGAAGGAAAAAAAAAATAAAGAAATAGGGTACAAAATCGTTTCAGCCTTGTCTGTTCTAGGCGCTGTTGCCTGGAGTGGATCTGCAGAATGCTGTTAAAATTCCACTGAATATGAGATCTAAGACTCAGGGGGCTTGACTCCCCCCCTTTGGAAGTGAGAGTGACGTTTGATTCGAGGGGAAATGGAATTGTGGCTGTGTCTCACGAAGTCCAGCCACTTTTGCTGAGTAATTTTAATCAGCACCCGGCTCGGTCCAGCCCTAGAGGGCTGGGGGCTTTTTGAGGTTAATTTTAGACTTAACATCTATATACTCCGTATGGAGACTTCATTTAATTTTGATATGGGGTTAATATATGTTATCTTTGCTATCACTACTCCATATAAGTATGAAGATCACCAATACTTTAACATGGAAGCTCCCCACTACCTAAAACAGGACGATCGGTGGATCATCTCATCTGCGTCATCATTATAGAATTCAAAACTCACGATACAACGTAACTGGGCGGTGAACCCTCCATCCGGGGAAGCTCTTTTCTAAATGATAACCTTCTTGGATAAAAATCGAGACATTTCTCTACATATTCTAGTTCAAGACCAAACAGCCCATATCAGACACGATGTGTGACGTCCCTTTCTTTCCAATCTTCCCTATCTGCTTCCAATGCAACACTGATCAGAACCCATGTCACTGTAAGGTGGTTGGCCCGACGCTCGGTATGTTGAGTTCTTCTACAGTATGAAATGCCGAGGCCATACCTGACCAAATGAGCAGGATTCTTCACAACCGTTGTGGCAGCGGTAAGTAATGGCACTCTCGTTGATAGCATGAAGAAGCTCTTCCTTGGCTCCAGGCTCATGAGAACCCTTTTTAGATTTTCTGCTACCCCCTATCAATCTTCTGTGGTTGCGGCTGCACTAAAGCCGGAAAGGAGTATGTCCTGTTGTCTTGCTACTTCTTCATCCCCAGGCTAACAAATACTAGCATGTTGGGATACCCTGTTAAGCTAAATCAGAAAGTCAGTAATGCCATACCATTCTGAGATTGGAACTAGGCACCTAGAATATATTTGAGACCCTTATCATTGTACCTAATCATTTTACCCTAATCTCGCTTTGCAAGCAACCGGTTCTCTCTCATCTACAAACCTCCCGACCTTTGCTTGGTTCCTTTTCTTCGGTATAAATGCCCAAACATCATTGTTATCATTGCATTTGGTTATTAAAGTATAATGACTAGTATATACTGCAAGAAGGGAGAACTCAATGCCCGAATACAATCCTTCATCTTGCTCCATGACATAAACCTCATACATGCTTAATCAGAGTCCTTGGGAGGAGGAGGCAGATAGCCCGCAGAGAACTCATCGGCTTCATCATAGTCTTGCAATTCAAGTCTTTTCAAGAAACCCCCTGCCAGCAGATCATTCACGCTGGACTCAGCCAAAAGCTGTGATCCAAACCCGGGCTGCTCAAACCAAGGAGCAATTGGTCCCAAGAGAATATCAAATTCCTTGGTCACCTCGTAGACATGGTAGTTATATGGGAAGTTGCTGTTTTCCGGCGCGAAAAGATTGGATGGTGGCAGGGATCGCTCGATATATGGAGCTCCAAGGGGTGCCAGGAATTTTCCATATTCAGATCCGAATCTATCAAGCTTCTGACCAACGTGGAGTGTGTAGTTCCCCAGGATAGACTCATTTTCAGATGTGACGGCGAATCCGTCGCTGTCTGGATAGATCCAGTAACTCTTTGGGTCGGAAGCGTTCACGGTCCATTTTTCTAGGAACTCGAATGGGCAGAGCTCGCCAAAGCGAGAATATGTTTCGAGCTCGTTAGAGAGAGGGAAGAAACCAGGGAGCCGCTTCGGACCAAGTCGTGGGTCACCGCAGACAGCAGTAGAGTTCACGTAGGTCACGCCTTTACAGGGATCGGGGTAACATCTTCTGGGGTAATCCGGCTCCTAAAAAGTATGAGAATTGGAACATAGGGCATCAAAAAGGTGTATTGGACTACTGACCTTGTTTTTGCGGTGCCTATTAGGAGTGACGAAGGCTGCGGCATCTGCTAGAGCAACCGAAAGAAGCACAGTGATAGTTGAGAGATGCATGGAGGATAGGGAATATATCTTTTGTCTGTGAGTCAACCGAAGAAAGGAGATAGAGCCCTTAATATACTAGAAAGTGCCAAGAAGCATTGACCTTCCATTCTCGCGATCTATACAGTGCCATTGAAATCGTGCGCACAAGCTATGCATGCAGATGGGTCTGCCCTACGGTTTGCCCCCAGAGGATCAGCCACAGGCCTCTTTGGGCTCGATTTTTCCCAATCAGAATCTATTATCCCTCGCTTTATTACTCCGTACGGAGTACTCCGTATACTCTACCATATCATTACCCAATTTGTAGACTAACATTTCTGGAAAGCTCAACATGCAAAATTCACGGAGTAATACAATACTCTGTACGGAGTACAATGTAATACAAGGTTGATAGGAATGACCTACAATATGTTGAGTGCTTAAGATGGAAGTGAGTGGTGTGTGATGAAACATTGAATTGACTATTTGAGCTCTAAGTGTTCTACTCCGTAGCGAGTGCGCTAGTCATTGCCCGAGAGCAGAACTTGATTGATTTTAGGGGGTAACTGTACAAAGAACTGAGGTATTGAAGAATCCTTGTGAGCTCATATCAGCCACAGAAACAATTTCTGTTTTGCTCCAAGAAATTGGCAAAATTTGATTTCAGCCCGATAATGGAGAGGGGTAATATAAAAGCAATCTATAATTTGTGATTCTCTCCGCAGATGCATTCAACAGGCAGGTGATAGGACATGAAGTTGTGTCTATGAGATTCGAGACCCACAACTTGTCAATAATTTCCTTCAGCTGGAGAGCTGAGACCAGAACTTGGCCAATGATCGTTGAGTGGATTCAATCTCAGATTCGATTTTTTTTTTCCAATTTCAGTTTAACACTAATTTGATCACATCAACAGAGTACAATGTAAGGAGGATGTTGGAGATACATTTGCCTCTCTAGAATTGCCATGCCCTTTTGTCCGATAATAGCATCGTGTTCTACCCCTGAATTCTACCCCGGAATATTTCTTCGGGAAGTGACAGATCCGCTGTATGCCCATTTATTTCCTCCACTAAAGGTAATTTGACTGCATAGTATCAAAATGGCAAAGATCGTCGAAATATTGAGAAGATAATATCAGAATTTTTACTAGTTACAACATACTCCGTACGTTAGTCATACTAGAGCTCTGGAAGTCTGATAATGGACCTAGGTCTACTCCGTACTGGGGGGGCCTGTTAAAGAGCTTAGCCCACGTTGATCATAGAGTTGTGGTGCTAGTTCTTCTTCACACAGAAATTGCGCCAGTACCAATTCTTTGTTTATAAGAACGAACCTAAACCGTGTAGGAAGTATCTTTGCGTAGTACTGGACCTAAGCCAGATGACTCCGATAGCACGAATATATACGGAGTACCCCCAATAAGGTTCTTAACGTTTCCATTTACCTCACTCGAGACTGATCGCCAGTTTACTAGCTTTACATCCCAGACTGCAATAACCTTCCCACAAAATTCAAGTTCCTCTAGGTTCGGTAAGCTATTATCGTGCGGTTTATGTTCGCCTTCTGAGGTAATCAAGTCGGGTAGTATAACGGTTTTTTGTCCACCTTTGATATTAGGATCATCACTATTAAAAGCGCTCGGGCACGTTATGATAGAGATACGGTGATCCTCTGATGGCATCGCATGTTGGAGGAAATCAATGACTGCCAGAGACATCAGACTACTTCGATCAAGAGAGGCGTGATAGGCGTATTCTAAGACTTTTCTGGAACGTAGCAATAAGAGAGTAGTAGTAGCCGAAACGGATAGTTCAAGTTAGACTGCGACATCGCCCGTCCATGGACACCTAGGAGGTGCCCATCGCCCGTCCACGGTGGGCGGTGGGCTATTTGGATTTTCGAGTGCCCGTCCATGACGCCCACGGCCCATGGGCATGCCCATCGTGGGCATGCCCACGATGCCCACCATTGCATAAAGTCACCTAAAATGGACGTATAACTCGCTGACTGCGCATAATAAATAACCGTTATATATACCTGTTTTGCCAACTCTATGTAATATTGTAGATATAATCTACAACATTTATGAATTTTATTGAAATATCTAAGTAAATGAAAAACTATAATATATATAATACGACTTGGAGTATATTCTTTATGGAAATACGCTATATTAAATAGTATTTTTGTTAACTTACTAAATTATACTATAATAGTTTAAAAATATATATTTAAGTTAGTGGTATATGTTAACCATTTTCTGTAAGTAAAATACTACTTCTGTCTTCCGCTCTATTGTTTATTTAGGTATAATTCTTTCTAAGAGTATTAGTATAATCATTATTCTATAAGCTTATATCATTAAATTTTGTCTATTCTATTACTAAAAGGCTTGTGTTATTATTCTGAGAGTTTTAAATCCTTCGATTCTAACTTAAGATGGGCGTTTGGGCATAGTCCTGTGGGCGTGCCTATGGGTATGTCTATGGATAAAGACCCTTATAGCTAATTAGCTTATAAAGGATAGTGGGTATATACTTAATTTATGATCTATTAGATCTATATAACGTACCCCTTTTACTAGTGACCCCTATTTTACAGAGTCGTAAGTTACCTATTGTAAGTCAAGACTATATACTCTCCCTTAGTTGTTACACTATCCCTTATATTATATTAACTATGTTTTAACCTAGTGCCTATATTGTAGGGCCTTTTTTACTTCCTCTGAGCTCTTAATTAGACCTCTCTTATGTTGGCGATATATTTGATTCTAACCTTGATCTAAATATTGATCCGAGTCTCTTTAATAGCTAATAGACTTCTATATCACTAATAGAGTCTGAGTTCACTTAACCGGCCCTTCTTGATTACTCCTTTAAACGTGTCGGCCCTGATTGGAGAAAGTAGTTTATCCTCTATGACGCGATGAACGACGCCTTTAAAGTAAAGTTTATCGAATGGTGGTGTATAATAGTATACGGTAGCGGTACTGAGACATAATGGCTACGATGGGATACAAAATATATATCAGATGTCTGGGAGAACTTTTACTAGGTAGTATATCATTTTACAGGCGAACCTTTGGTTATGTGTCGGACGTGTGGAGCTACATTACCTTATCTAAGTGTGAAGTAAAGCGGTACTAATATACTAAAGCGGTATATGGTGTTAGGCAAATGCTAAAAGGGTGGTAAAAGTAAGTCTATATAATAGTCGATTATAGAGACTATATAGTATATATTGGTAAGTCTTATATGATTATACCCTTTAAGATAATTAATAAGTTATATATTAGGTATTGGTATCATCTTATATCTTAAGGTTCTCGAATGATAAATGGGAAAGAGAGCAGATTGAATGTCTTACTAGTCTGAACCTACCTTTCCGGGTACTTGAGAGGAAGTAGTTTGCTTCCTTGATTCGAATGGTGTAAAAGGCTCTAGTTGAACCTACTCTACTCTATCCTCGCACTGCTTAACGCCGGCTAAAGAAATTGGTTGAGGATGAGTAGTATATAATCCTTACTACCTTACTATAAGATATGAAGCTCTTAGTCGCCTTTGACTGCTGGATATCGCCTTTCTAGTAAGTATTTATGGCGATTATAGGGTACTTTATCGACTGAGACTGGAATTACTGTGAGATCCTACTTGGATTTGAACCACTTGATGGGGCGTATTCTGGTATAAATCTAAGTGGAATGCTTATGGATATCTTTAGGAAGCTTGATATTACTGATCGCGTGTTAGCGATTATATTAGATAACGTACCTAATAATATAACTCTAGTATAGGTAGTTTAAGACTCTATTGACTCTCTTGAACTACTGAATAACCTAGTGGTTATTCGAATCCCTTGTCTTATATATATTATCTAACTAAGCCTTTGTGAGCTACTTAGATTAGTGAAGGTCGACCCTTAGAATAATACTATAGATCGGAATGTTTCTGATATCTAAGCCTAAGCCTAAGCTCGATCACTCTGTGCGTCCTAGAGTGAACAAGTTATTGTATAAACCCTTGTTAAAGTAAGTATATTGCTTTATTTCTTATTTAATATACCTAATAAATATATAGATTCGCGGGCTTGCTATATTTATTAATGTAAGCCCCTAACGTTGTGATGATTTCTTCTGTCTTTAGACTAATAGAGCAAAACTTGCGCCTATCTAAGATGTCTGTATATGTTGGAATTCAACCTTCTTAATACTTCGTTGTGCGAAACGCCTTAGTAAGCTATGTGATGAATACTGTGATAATATTGGGACTCAGAAATATAAACTTAGTAAGGTGGAATGGTGGTAGGTCGACTACCTTCTGTATATTATAGAGCTGTTCTACCGCTTTACTATAGTACTTTTAAAGACTAAGGAGATAACGGTATATTATGTTTTTGGTATTTATAATGCCCTCTTCGATTACTTCGAGGATTCTATCGTATGACTTACCCCGAAAACTATACCCTAGAAGAAAGCGATGCTACAAGCCCTTAATGTTGGGATGGTAAAGCTTATATCTTACTATGCGAAGATAAAAGAGATCTATGGTAATCTCTACGCAATTGGAACGATTCTTGTACCCTAGTATAAGCTTCACTTCTTCTTAAGTAAAGTATGGGGTATGTCGGAGAATAATATAAACTGGAGTGATTAGTATAAGGAAACGCTTCGCTAGTTTATGGCTCTTTACGCCTAAAGATATACCTAGGTATAGCCTCTATAAGGAGAGTAAACGCCTAAGTGTTACTTAGCTAGTATAAGTGACCTAGACGCTCTCCTTGACATTCGGCCTTATATTTATTCTGATCTGTTAATATTAGAGTACGAACTCGCTAGATACTTTGAAAAGCGTACGTTATATTCACTATTATTATAAGCGGGAATACTTATACCTATTATAGTAAGGAGAAAGGTTGATCCTTTAGAATTCTAGAAGGAATATGAGGATGAATTCCCGATTCTTTTAAGTATTACTCGCGATATTCTCTTAATTCCTGTAATAGGCGCTAGAGTTGAACGTCTGTTTAATTTAGCATAGGATATCTGCTACTACTAATGTGGGCGGCTGAGTGCGAAGATAATCTAGGATATTATAATGTTCTGGTGTAAAACCTAATTTGATATTGAAATAGAAGAACTACCCGATGAGGATATGTCCTTAGATTCTATATAAGAAGTAGACGAGTAGAGAGAGGCTGAACTTACTACTGATATGCCTGAACTAATTAGCGATGGTGAGGATTCCGAGGATAATGATCCTGTTGGGCTGATCGAGTATGAGTTTATAATGGAGAGTTAGCTTCCTTGTCTATCTATTGTGCTAAGTACGCGGAAGCGATAGAGAAGTGAGCTTATTGATAGCGAAGATAAGAGTAGTCCTTATCTCCCTCTTTATGGAGATGAGGTTGGCACTTAAAGGCGCCTTGGTTTGAGAGAAGTAAGGAAGCGTGGTAAGCCTAGTGATGATTAATTTGTGTCGTATTAGTATGAATGTATGGCTATAATGAATACAAGTCCCGAGGTTATTTTACAAAGGCTTCTAAAGCCTAATTTTCTAACCCCGGTTAAAAAACTAACAGTCGTGTTAAATCATTGTATAAAGGCTTCTAAAGCTAATTTCTGACCTCGGTTAGAAATTTGATAGTAGTATCAAATCATTGTATAAAGGCTTCTAAAGCGAATTTTCTGACCGAGGTCAGAAAAAATGTATATGTAATTAAGTTACTTAAAAATACAGAGAAAAAATGCACAAATAATGTAAGTCACGAGGTCAAGAAATTTTGCTTACTAAAAAGGCCCATGGGCGCCCATGACGCCCACGGCCCGTGGGCCCTAAGGGTAGGGCCCGTCCATGGGCCCTATGGATAGGCCCATGGACAGCTTACATAAGGCCCATGGGCTATGCCCACCCGCCCGTCCATGGGCGATGTCGCAGTCTAGTTCAAGTAGAATAGGGAAAGGAAAGAGATCCGATAAATGAGCAGAGTTCTATAGGTAAGGGGTCACACGCCCTAGTTTTCCCACGACACCTTCAAATAATACCAATGCGTGAAGATGAGCGAGAAGCTATGGCTGTGAAGGGTGAAACCGCAACATGTGCGGAGAACCTTGGAAGGTATGCCCTGGCGAGTGTTGGTTCCGGCCCCCCGGGCTGTCTGTTGATGACGGAATCTACTGCGGTAACCTTGGAAAATAATCAGCAGAATCCCGCAGAAGTCCAGGGCTGTTAGAATATCTTGCGTATCTCCAGCCATGAATAGTTCTTTCTTAGCTCTAGCACATATTTAAATACATCTACTCAACAGTATTTGGTATACCCAGGTGGTTATTCCCCTCCTCTCCCTCTCCTCCCTTTTCAGTCCCTAGCAGCAATACAGTCGTGTTCGATGACTCGTTCTGCTTCGTCTTCCGAGATAGGTGATGCATAGGCGTCGGCTGGCTCAGCTGGACGGATGGGATGATCCTTGCAGAGGTATTGCCGCTTGGGACAATGGGCTAGACAAGTCAGCGCCATGATTTGGCTTTTGGCATCAGGTATGCGAGCAACTTACTAACAGGCCAGTCACCCGTCTCAAATGTCTGGAGATAGACGCTCATGTAGGAGACGCCCTTACGGTAAGAGAAAGAAATATAAGCGTGGATGTAGTTGACCGTCTCCTGATCGGCGTGTGGGCTGCAGTGGTCATGATTAGCGCTGTATGGGTCTGCAGGGAAAAAGGAATAGATGGAACGCACTAATAGGCACGGATATTCTCTTTATAAGTCTCAGCCAGCTTCGTCCAGCCCTGGCGCTGGAAGAAGGCCGTAAGCGCGTTGGTTACGTGCAAATCGTTCAGCCCAAATGTTGTAAAGTACACCTGAGGCTCGGGCATTGGATCGTCCGGCCGTAGTGTATAATTAACCATTAGGGGTAGCTGCTCGTCTGGAATCGTCCCAAGAGGGAGGTAGTCGGAAGGATAGGAGGCCAGGCACGGTGGCAGCTGAATTAGGCTCCAAATCTCGCGGATGGTGTCCAATGCGACCAAATCCGTGGCACTGTTCCGACGCCCACCCAGAGTCCACAGGTCTTCCATCGCCTCGAGTGAGACCTGTCGTTCCAGCAGATAAATCTTAGTGCGGGCACACTCGGGGCTGATCAAGTCACAAGAAAGAAGTCGTGGGGAAGCTGTAGAGTCCGGTCCCCGTGACTCTATGTACTCCTCCAGCACCGACAGGGGCTGTGCTAGTGTGGGTGACCATTCAACATGTTGCCTCACTGAGGAGAGCATCAGATCCTTGATGGAACGCCCTGTTGCTAGGGACTTGAGGGCGGGGTAGAAGTAGGCCTTCACCACAAAACTTCCATTCTGCAAGTCAAGGGCCAGCTTGTTTTGCGTTCTAATCTGCGACCCGACAAGATTGTTCTGCAAAAGATGCGCTGATTCCGTGTTGTCTAGGGTAAGGTTGTCTTTGAAGTGCCTGAACAACTGCGTATCCACGTCCCCGTTCAGACGTATGAGCTGGCTCAGGCTCTCCCAAATTGCTTGGGTGTTGAAAGGATCCTGGTCTGTCCCAGTTAAGGCACTGATTGGTTCAAAGGTGTACCGCACAAGACTATGGGAGCAGTTGAGGCTCAGCTCAAAAGGAGTCCCGTATCGCGTTAGGATACTTAACCACCGCGCTCGGTCATTCCTCGGATAAGGCCCTAAGAATGGAGTGACCACCTTCTTCCAGGTGCCCAAGATCTTGTACTGCTCATGAATATCATATCCGCAAGTCTCAAGCATCTGCGCAAACATCGGTGCCGCGCTATGCCACCACAGGCGCTGCTCATCGTTGGAAAACTCCAGAATATCACTCAATACTCTGTAGCTAAACGAGTGGGAGGCATTAGCGGGCATATCATACTTGTCCATAGTTTGATATCTGGGGGATGGGTCGGTATTTTCCTAGTCGTCGAATGTCTAGGAACCGAGAATAGCGATAGATGGAGAAGATAATAATCGGCCTGGGAGAAAGAGATAAATTTATTCCAATATATGTAGGTGATGGAGACTACAGCTGAAGATCTAATCAAGGATGTATCCATTTTGTACATGTAAGGCCACGACCCACGACTTGCAGATAACTTGTGCTTTTTGCTCAAATGTAGTCCCCCAGTCATACTCTCCGAACCACCTCCGAAACATACATCATCAGCCGTGGTCTCGAGGGAATTGGATGCACTGCCAAAAAAAATATGATATACGCTAGTTAGTGGAATGCATAACTTTGCAGATGCCCAGAACTTAAAGGGTCAGCTCTGCCACTGAATTACCTTGTGTCTGCCGATTCGTAGGTCACATTAATGACAGATCTCACATTAATGACAGATCTTTAGGGTGATCGGTCAATTGTCGGTGAACATATGAGACTTCCAATACACTACTAAGTTGAACATGCTAGATGCATGCAGAAGCAGCGAGTGCCTTTCTTTCGGCGCCTTAATGTCCTATGTATAGCACCAAGGGAACGGCTCGGAAGACGGTCTCGATTCATGCGATCTACATGAACAATGCAACATATCCACTAGCTTAGTATGATAACAAGAGAGCCACAACCTATTGAGAGATTAATCAGACAGGATGCCATCCGGGTAAGTTGTGCTTGCATGCGCTATTTAATAGCCTTCCAAGGTTGGTAGTTTGCTTATCCTGAATCTCCAAGTCACTTGGGTCTCCACACATGGAGCTATAGGTACAACGCAGGAAGATGGAATCTGAGCCCCTTAATAAATGAATCATGAGACAAGATCGTCTACAATTTCATTCCAGGCACTCAAGGCACTTGCATATCAAAAACAAAATGAGATGTGACAGTGAACATTTGCAGGCTAACCTCGGAAAATTCAATAGTAGTGCGGTCTTTAGTGGCGATGCATACACACGTATGTATGTACCTAGTATTGCTGAACCCTGTACTTAGGTATCCAGTTCTTCATCTCCAAAACTTGTTAAATTCGTAGGTCAACTATATATAAGCGAATAACGCACATAGGTAACAATTATTCTGTCGACAAAGCCTTCGATATTACAATCTCCTATTGGATTTTTTAAACGTCGCTTGATAAAAATGGAAGTCGAAAACAAACAGAACGTCGTTGCTCTTGGATCAAGGGACCCAACCACTACCGATGTTGGTGACATGTACGACGAAACCTCTGACAGTCTGACTGATATGTTGGGGGGAAATATCCATGTCGGCTACTGGGAAGACCCGAACAAGTACGAAACACCAGAGGCAGCTGGTGACCGAATGACGCGTGAGGTTGGCAACCGACTCTCTCTTGCCCAAGGGGAGCACATCCTGGATATTGGCTGTGGCACCGGAAAATCCACCGCACAAATAGCCACCACCTTTGATGTCCACGTCACCGGAATCACCATCAGCAAGCAGCAAGTTGAACTTGCCCAATCTCAGTACACGGGAAAATTACAGACTGGAGAAGTCGACTTCCAGTTTGCAGACGCGATGGAGATGCCGTTTGAGGACGCCTCTTTTGACGGCGCCTACGCCATCGAATCCATCGTGCACATGCTTGACAAACGCGCTGCCCTCGCACAGATCGCCAAAGTGCTTCGTCCCGGCAGCCGACTGGTCATTACCGACCTCGTTGCCGACCACCCAACCCCCGATTCCCCGGTTTTGGCACACTATGCCAACATCTTTGATCCCCCCTTGGTCTCAGTGGATGACCTCCAAAATCTCCTACGCCAGGAGGGCTTTAAGGTCATTGATGTTACCGACGTACGAGATAACATCCGGCCTACGAGCAAATTGTTCGAAACAAAGGGTCTATCTGTAGGGGGTGAGCTCGGGCAGAAGCTTCTTGAGTTTGCGTCCATTCTAGAGCAAATGAACGAGCTCGGATATGCAATTATCACCGCCGAGCGCCTCTAGTTTAAGCTAGTCTAGAGGCTTTTCCCCTGCTGGTTTCTACCCCAGGGCAAGCAAATATAGGGAAATGATGTTCATTGTGACACAAGAATCACAAGCCGTAATTTGCCTGATTATTGTAAACCAAGTCCTCAAGGCGGGGTGCAAGGGAAGAATGAGGAAGGTACAGACTTGAGGGTATGCATCCCGGAGTTTGCAGAATTACAGATGAAAGAATTACAGAAATGGATTTTATAGCTACGAGGCTGCTCACTAGCCCGATGCGGTGTCCGAGATGGTTTGATTGTGGATTCATATAAGGATGTTAGCTATTACATATTCTGCATCCAGACAAAGCCCCTTTCGGGAACCTGGTGTGTTTGCAGGCTTTCCCCAGGTGGGAAGCAGATAGATCCCTCCCAGCTGGTTTTCTCTTTCTTCATTCTTCATCCGTCAGAATTTATCCTTCTGTGATATCTGCAGTTCCATCCTTATCTCACATTACCTTTGAACGAAAGACCCCAAGCCTCTTCTTTGATTTACAGTCTCGCTGGCCCGCGGGGCCCCATCGGATTTGCATGTCCACATGCTGGTTCGAGCCGTTTGTCAACCTTTTCACGGACACGATCCGCAAGACTGGTTTGGACCAGAGCGAATGTGCGATACACCTTCTCCCTGATAGCCTCCGAAGTTTGGGAGATAGACTCGGCTAGGTTATCGATCAACTCATTCTGGAAATCCTGATCTCGAAATTGAGGGAACCATTCATACAGCTCCCTCGCGAAGCCATAGTCATCTTCACGGGGCTCTGACCACGCCGGGGACGAGACCTCACTGATCCACTTTGTAAACTTTTCACTTTGTGGTTCAAGACTGAGGGGTTTTTTGGGCCGAGTCGGCGGATTTTCAGGATTGACGCCGAGACGGTAGCGTTGAGCATCCGGGTACGCGAACATACGGGCTTGGAGAATCGGATCCTCCGAGGGGAGGACGCCAGGAACAAGATTTGAAGGCGATAAGGTAAGACACTCAATCTCCGAAAAGTATTTTTGAGGATTTCGGTTTAATGTCAATTTGCCGAATGCTCGCTTTGGGATCACGGAGCCATTTTTCGGATAAAAACCATAGTTCCAATGCTTGGTCATATCAAGAATATTGAAATCAAGATCTGGAGCATCTTCTGGATCCACCACCTGCGCATATGCGGTCCAAGTCGGAAAATCTCCACGCTCGATGGCCTCGTACAAGTCCCGGGAGGCCCCATCTGGGTCGTTCATGTTCTCGTTGAAGGCGTCGTCCATGCTGGCATTCTCATTCGAAGGTCCGCCACACGGAGAGAGGTAGACATGGACATATTTGAAAGATCCGTCTGGCATTGTCCATTTGTACGCATGGCCGATGTAGGCACTCATGGTACGCCAGTTGAACATTGTTCCCAGTTTGCTGAAAAGTGTGAGAACCAGGTGTAGAGACTCGGGATTCTCCGATACCCAGTCCCAGTACCTATTGGGATTCAACAAGTTGGTTTGTGGGTCTCGTTGTTGGGCATGCATCAAGTCCGGAAACTTCGCTGGATCACGGATGAAAAAGTATGGAAAATTGATGCAGACCCAGTCCCAAATTCCCTCTTGCGTGTCAAACTTCAAGCCCAATCCTTTAACATCCCGGATTGACTCAGAAGAGCCGCGCTCAAGTCCAGTGGTTGAGAAGCGTCCCACACAGGGGGTTTTCTTCCCAACTCCCAGCAACATGTCAATGTTGCATATATCGGAGATGTCATCGGTGACCTAATTTCCAGATATGAGAAATTGGTACCCGGCAAGTGAAGTAGTGACTTACCTCGAATTCGCCATATGCACCCGTGCCTTTTGCATGTACGACACGCTCGGGGATCTTCTCGCGGTTAAAGTGTGACAAGGCCTCTAGAAGCCCTGTGTCATTCGCCACAGAGTTTTGCGCGAATCTTGGAACAGAGCCGGTTCTTTCCATCGCGGGGCATCCGCGAATGGTTGCCTTCGGCATACTGTCACTACCTGGCATGACTGTATTCTGCAGTAGGAGCTGGCTTTTTTCAACAATGAAACGTTGGTATGCGAAAAGAGATAAGCGGTATGGGGGCTGCCTTTGTACTAATCGCGTACATTTAAGCGGCTTCTGATTAGCCCCTTTACCCAGACCAGCTGAATTGGGTCTCCATCTAGATCATACCCCCCGCAAGTCGCTAGAGACACGATATCTACGGAGTACACGGGAAAGGTACAAAATGGAAACCCCTTGCTCCAGCCATGGCCGGGGCCCGTTGACCAAAATCTGCATTGGCGAAAAAAATAATAATGGAAATAATGACAAGTTCCTTTTCCTTTTCTTTTCTTTTCTTTTCTTTTTTTTTTTTTTCTAAAAAATACCTCCCAAAATGAGGGTTCCTGCGTGCATATGGAGGTCCTGTGCGCCGATGCATGGCAATGCTCTCCCTACAACAGGTTTTAACCGACATTAGGCCAACCGGGGGTTTGCCAGACAGAAAATTAGTAAATATTCGTTAAAGAGTTATCTCACTTCGTATATTGACTTACGCGGGAAAAAAGGTATATAACCCTAATGTGGATGATAGAAAAGAGTCCTTCTATATCACTAACCTTAATCTCGGTAATAATCTTCTAGATCTATTTGAGCTATATATAGTTTACTCTTCCTTTGACTTTACCCGGAGGGAGATATATGGTTAGGTATAGGTGGTTTATAGAAAGGTATAGATATTAATAGTAGTATAGCTATAAAAAATAATCTCGTCTTTGAATATTCCTAGATCAATTAGGGCTAGTATGTCGAACAAGCCTATAATGAGAATAAAAAGGGAAGTCGGCGAAGCCGAGGAATCATGCAGGCCCCTAATGCCATGTATGTTGTATGTAGATCTAAACTGTGATATTTCACCACTCTGCACGCTAATTAAAAACTATCTGCACAGCTGCAGCTGTGATCCCTCTCATGCATGCATACCTCAGCTCCAAGCCCGATCTTCGCGGAACAGCCGCACTAGCCCCACATCAGCCCGTGTCAACAAATATACTCCGTACTCTGCATGGATGATCTAAATGAGAGACCACAGCCCTGGAGGAGCGGGGCTTATTGTACTCCGTAGGAACAATCCTATTGAGCCATGCACAGTGAAATGGGGGAGTATACACATCCATTTCCAACTGTCCTTGCATCTACTCCGTACCTAGGTAATCGTCACCATGTCTCACTTTCCAATCACCATTGGCCAAGCAAAGAACCTTGGGAATGGATATCATTTTATTGGCTTGATGCTACGGCATCTTTTGTGCGCCACATTATTGGACACCAAGCTTAGTGGCCACATTGAGCATACAGGTACTCCGTACATCATGCAAAGACATTGTCTTGAGCTCAGGCACTCCAGCCGAACCTAGCGGTTGTGATTGATCTTGACGAGGACAAGAAGAGCAACGCATTGAGCCAGCGGATATGCAATCAAAACCTCGAAGACCCAGTTATTCAGGTTCAGAGGCGCAGGTAATAATACCTAGGTAAGACTTACGGACTTCTATCAAGAAAATACTGTATGATAGATGATCGACCCTTGCCTATACATCCCATTCATACAAGTTTACTCACCGCTATGCCTCTCTAAGGCCATCTGTAAACTGGTCACAAGTGTTATTCTTGAGTATATCACCCAAAGCTCTCTTTAGCACAGCTACTTGGGTCTTTTCTAGTTGATTTCATCACACTCGCTGTATTGTGCCTCTGAGTATGGAATCAATCAATGAGGCTGCGGCCTTTGTTGGCATCAACTCAAAGTTGCTTGGATGCATGGGCTTTGCGGTCCTTGTCGTATTGGCGGTATTTCTAGTCGATTATGTTGACCTGCTATATCGCTCCCTACCCTACATGAAGTTAGCCCCGGCATATCCGGGCAGCTATCTTACGGGCAGGTTTTGGGCGGGAGACACAACAGGTGAAGGTCTGGAAAAGTCTGGAACTGAGGGATACTATCGAGTAAGTTTTCAACTTTCCAACTAGATAAAGAAAATGTGATGGCTTATCACTCACAGTACACCAAACGGGGCAAAGTGTTCGCAAGGAAGACGGAACTAAACAACTGGTCCCTCATTTTCCCGTCGGAAACCAGCCGTGAATGGCGCAATCTACCACTTGACCAGATCAGCTTTTCACACTGGGCTCAAGAGGTATGGTTTATTTTGTCCCCATCTTGGGTCTTCAGTAGTTAACTATGTGTCTTATTCAACAACAGGGGGGACAAATCAAGAACCATACAGTGCTTACCAAAGCCCACTCAAAGGTCGCTCTTCTCTTTGGAAAAAAGGACTTGCTCTGTAAGTAGTGATCTCTTTTGTGCTTCTCTTGATCTGCATGCCTTGAACTAACACCCGTCATATAGTGGCTGTTCAGAAGATCCTTGTTAGGGAAACCCCTCGCCTGCTCCCTGGAATTATCGGCGCCGGTAAAGGTGAGAATCCACTCCGCAAAAGAAATCGAACTACGCATTAATTCACAGACTCACTTTCAGAATGGGTACCGCTTAACCTTATGCAAGCCTGCAGCGACTTGGTCATCAAGCTCAATGCCAGGGTTCTGTACGGCCCAGCGTATGCTGATGATCAGGATTTCCATAGGCGATTGATCATGTTTGCCAATGGTGTCGATGGCATCAACTCTGTCTACTTCGCTTGGCCTCGTTCCTTATGGGGGATTGTATCACTCATTCATCCTACCATTCGAGGGTTCTATGCGAACCTCCCAGAGCTGAAGAAGAAATTGGTACCTGATGCCCGAGCCCGCATTGCTAAACTACAGGCCAAAGCAGCACAAAGAAAGGGTAACGTCCCTGCATCTGATGAAGACATTACCTTCATGACTGCCCTTCTACAAATGCATATCGAGGATGGTACCCTGAAAGAAGAGGAAAATGACATCGAGAATATGTGCATGGAGGCAGTCTTCTATACATACGAATTCTGGGGCCCAATAATGCCCACACTGTTCTTTATGATCATGGAAATCGGTAAAAATCCGGGCTACCTACAGGCACTCCGAGAAGAGATATCCTCGGCACTCGGATCCAATGGTTGGTCTTCTGATTTCCTGACACGTACTCCTAAGTTTGAGAGTTTTATCAGAGAGATACTTCGTTTATACCTTCCAGCCCAGTGTGAGTTATTTTCCCCCCAGCCTCTTTCCTTGCTGTTCAAGCAGCAAAATCCAATGTGAAAGGACATAGCACTGATATTCACGCTTTCGCGTACCTCCAGCTACCGTCAGTCGCCGAACAGAGAAGCCTATCTACGTAGAGTCCATGGATATGAACATCCCCGCTGGAGTCAATCTCTGCGTGCCAGCCAAATTTATCCATCACGATCCAGACTTTTATCCAGATCCGACCACTTTTGACGGATTCCGTTTCTATGACCCAGTAACCAATAATGTCACAATCCGTGCTACTACTGCCACCGACACCTATCTGTCATTTAGCCACGGAACAGGTCTGTGTCCGGGAAGAACTTTTGGGGTGCATATTGTCCAAGTGCTTTGTGCAATCTTTATCATGGAGTACGATGTGAAACTGGACCCCAACGATAAACAGGGCTTCCCTGACGTCCAATCAACAAAAGAAGGGCGTGGAGACGGCATGATTGGTACGACAAATATCCTGATTCGAAAGCGCATGCCAAGTGTCTGATATACGGGATATTCATTTGGGAATACTTTCTGTATGATAATCATAAGGTCAAGGATCTTTAGTTTATTAGTTACACTTTTCCATATCAAACTGCTCGGTTTTGAAAATTGAATGTCGTGATTCGTCCCCCTTTTGAGTTCATCTATGGCGAAATGCTTCGACTTATAGTTTTTCTAACATCTCCATTCTAATCAATATTCAAGGTTTTAGACCTCAAGATTCCAGGAACTGCAGGTTAATCTATATAATACTTTGACTATTTCCATACATTACATTACTTGAAATATTACAAGATTTTCTTAAGGTTGGTGTTGTGGCAGAAATATATCTTGAAAGTAGCATGTTGAAAGTATACTATGCAATCATTTTTACCTCTACAATTTTATCAATTTGCCTAAAGGCATATCCCAGTTAGGGTCATAAATAGTTAGCTGAAATACTAGGTTGACAGTATTATTTAATGCCTTAGAAAATTGGGACTGAAATTGAGATATTGATCTAGTCTATATGACAAAAAAGAAGTTGAGATTAGTGTACAAAGTGGAATTAGTATGCTCCGAGAGCGCGGTGACGGTAAGGCATTATCCAATGAGAGTTATGAATCGGTGATTCTAAGTTGCCTGTTTGTGCTGTTTTCAATGTCAGGGGGCATTCCAACACATTTCCTATAAGGTCTAAATAACCGAAAGCCATATAGCACTAAAATTTGTAGTCCACTCCAATGGGACAGTGGATTTCAACATCATAAAAGTTACACTCTAGTCCTTGCAGTCCTTGCACAATCCAGATTTGGGAGTAGAAATTGTGCTGGCCACTTGGTCCATTTGTTGCACTACCTTCATGATCATATCTGTTTGGGTGGAAGGGTTCATCGCACAGAAACGGAGGGCCACCCTGCCACGAATGTTTGTTGTGAAGATGGAAGCAACATTTTCCGTCAAAAGTCGAGTCGAGATGGCTAAGTTCAGTTCATCTAGCTCATTGTCCTTTAAATCCGGTGGGGCGTATCGGAAGACGACTATACTCGCTGTTACTGGCGCCAGGATCAACCAATGCGCATATCGTCGAATTTCGTCCTCGGCAGTGCGAGCGAGAAGGAAGGCGTGGTCAATCATCTCTCCCATCTTTCGACGACCTAGCACTCTCAGCGTAAACCAAAGCGGTATAGCTCGTGCTGGGCGGCTGAGCTCAGGGCCAAAGTTATAGAAATTCACAGCCCCGTGCGGTGTCGTTGAGTTGATATATTCCGCATCCACGGCAAAACTCTTGGCGAGAGATGTGCTATCACGAGTGAGGACAATGCCACAGCCGTATGTCTGGAATAGCCATTTATGCCCGTCCCATGATATACTGTCTGCGCGACCAATTCCATTGACGAGATGGCAGTGCTTGTCGGAGAGGGCAATTGATGCACCGTAGGCACCATCCACGTGCAGCCACAGCCCCTCTTCTTTGGCCACGTCGGCTAAAGCATGGAGGGGATCAATGCTTCCCGTGTTAGTGGTTCCACAGCTAGCCACGAGGAGAAAAGGGAGCCGGCCACATTGACGGTCGGCTGCAATCGTTCGCTGTAGGATGGCTATATCCATGCGGAATGCCTGGTCTGTGGGGATAACGCGGACTTGATGTTCGTGGAAGCCAATTATGTGAAGACATTTCTTTATCGATATATGCGTCTGGTCTGATACGTATATGGTTCCCTCAGGCCGCCGTAAAGGGGGGAGCAATTTATCTCGAGCTGCCACAACGGCGGATAGGTTTGCCATCGAACCACCGGAGACGAAGCATCCTGTAGCAGACGCAGGGAGACCAACTTGGTGGGCTAGCCACCTGATCATGGCCTGTTCCATTGCACTAGGTCCGGAACTCACGTCCCAACTGACCGCGTTCACATTATAGAGCGAGGTGAACAGGTCTCCCACCCAGGCAAGCGGTGATGGACATGACGGTACATAGCAAAAGCAGTGCGGGTGCGTGAGACGCATACGTTTGTCAAAAATATCCATAGTTTCCTGGATAACTGATGCGACGTCGTGTGGGCTCTCTCCTGGGAGGAATGCCTCTTGCATTTCTTTTGTTCCCGCAGCATCCAGTGTTCGGACAATGGGATCGGAGGGAGTTTGAGTGTTCATTTTTAGTAGTCGCGTCAGCGCGGCTAGAGTTGCAATTGAAACATTTGTATGGAATTGATCAATATCTTCCTCTTTTTCAGTCATCGTAGCAAATCAAAGTAATAGCTAATTTTCCTGAGATGGGTCCAGGTCGAGTGAATGAACGGAGGTTTGGACAGATGAACAATAGACCACACAATATTATGGATGAAGTGGCAGGCAACATTTGATAGGATTTCAGGCGCCTAGGTAGATTCTAGCACATATCTTCTTGCATTGACATCCTGTAGGAACCTGCAATATTTTCCAGTCCTTGCAGGAGCAAGAATGATGCCGCTAAGCAAATCTTGGAACCGGTCAGCTCCGATCTATTGAGACTAGATTCTTTTGATATCACAGAACAAATTGACTGCGGTTCCCGAGGCTGAGCATACCCAATCCTGCAGTATGTGTCTACTGCAGTACGCTGTTACTAGTGTATGAGATCAATCACATTGTTAGATGTTGGCTGGCTGAGACTGCCGCAATTAGTTAGTATAGCAAGGTAGCTATGTATAGACAAATCAGGGATTTGACTCTCGAGCAGCAGCTATAATACTTTTTTTGGATACACCTGGCTTCCATATGCATCATATATCACAATATTCAGTGACATGCCAGATGCATGATATCCATTTTTGTACGGAGAACTCCGTGCCAGAGAAAACATATAATGAATATATTCTATGCACTAGAGGTATCACATCATCCAATGCTCCATGCCGCAATCTCATTTCTCGCTTTATTCTATACAGTTAGGAATTCGTGCAGAGCCCGAGCCCGTAAGATACACACGATAGAGAGCCACATTTGTATTCCAGACATGAAGCTATATGTATGAAATACAGTGACAGCTAATTCAAAGATAAGGCTTTTGTTTTGTAGGGTGTTTCCTGTTAATTTCACCAAAACCCTCGGGGCCTTGACCTAGGACTACATATTTGACACAAGATCACATTAAATCGAAGATGATGCTATCCCCGCATCTAGTAGATTGGAAATTGAAATCCCTCCAGGTTGCTTAGTTTAGACTGCTCACGAGAATCATGAATTGACCTTTGAATACAAACTTGGAAATCGTTTCAACTATTCAGATCCATATATTCTATCATCAACATTGTTATATGCACAGAGAAGATACGCTAGAAAATTCAACCCCAGAGGCCACCCTGTTTCCTGCATAGACCATCCTGATCCCAAAACTCACTCCCTACCCCCAACCTGGTTATAAACAATGCGTCAGCGTCCCACTTTTGCTTGATAGCCAACAATCGATCATAATTCGTGCCCCAATACACGTTTCGGAAGTCAGGATCGTTTGGGTCGCCCATGTTAAGATAGGACACCTTGTAACTCGGATCTAGTGAGTACAGAATCGGCATTTGCACACTTGTGAGCTCGTAGCTAGCATGTGATCTGGCTTCCACAGAGCGGGGAACGGACTTGTAGAGGTTTATCAGCAGTGCTGAATGGCGCCAACCTGGATGCATTGATGCATTAACAGAATTAGGGTTGATATTGACTGCTCCTCCGAGAGTGTTCAAAAAGAGTTCATCACCAGATTGAAGATGAACTTGAGTGAGTGTCTTGGCTATTTGATATGGTCCTTGTGGTGACTTGAATAGGTGTTCCGAAACCAGAACAGATCCTTGTGTGATCCCGTACTCTGCTGGGTAGATATCGGGATCGTGCCGTAAACTCGAACTTACTAGAGCATAATATTCGGATGAGTAATTGTACGGAATTTGCTGGGTTCGAAAATAGTCGAAGAGTACTCTCAGTCGAAGATCAACGTTGTCGAGGTCCGTTGTATTCAAAAAATGTAGAGTGAGCCTTGCAGTCAGCGGATCGGCTTGCAGGTGAACCTCTCCAGCGATGCTTTGTTCGTTAAATATCCGTAAAGTCTTGAGCATCTGTGTCAACGCCTGCGTCCAGGACTCTTCATCTAAGCCTTCCGGTGCAGATACTTCAAACCGGGTGGTAACACACGGGACGTCTGGAAATATCCGCACCGTTGCTTGAGTGACGAGCGCGAATGTACCTCCCCCCCCTCCTCTTAATGCCCAAAGCAGGTCTTGATTGTGGTAATCGTTGGCTACTACCAAGTCACCCTGTCGATCAGGAGATCAGATTAACATTCATCCTTTGAAGATCTCACAGGTTGGGATTGTCTGACAAACAAAATACTCACATCTGCTGTTACAGCTTGAATCTCCAAAACATTGTCGACAGCAAGCCCCCTGGTGTGACTGAACTTTCCAGAAACACCGCCCCCTTGAAGGAAGCCGCCAACAAAGCCGACGGTGGGACATACTCCCCCGACTATGGTGTGTCCTTGCCGAGCACCCTCGGCATAGAGCTCTCCGAGCATAACTCCAGCCCCAACAGTAACCGCAGGTCCCGAGGTTGTAGTAGCCCCGACTGGCTGGAAGTTATCATGATAATGTGTATGTTTCAGGTGATGCGTGTGTATCTCGAATGAGCCTAGAGCACTGGAGCGCCCCGAACCATCATGACCAGTATTTTGGATTGCAAGTCGTAGGTTATGATCCTTTGCAAACTTTATGGCATCCTGCACGTGGGAGACTGACCGCACAGCAGCCGAGTATAAAGGAGTACGGCCTTGGTGACAAGGTATATCCACGGGTCCTCCCACATAACACGTTTCCTCTTCGGTCGAGCCGCTATCCCAAATCCAGTCCTGCAGTGTCCCTACAATCGCTACAGTTGGCGTAATCCAGACAAGAGGACGGTAGCCTTACCTGGTTGTGCGGCCCTCCATGCGCTGTTTCGAGAGACATTCAACAAAACTTCACAAGCCTGCTGATCATACGTAGGCTCGTGACAGACGTGCCCTATAGGCTTTACCGAGATCAAGTTTCCGTCAATCGATGAGTTCAGGGTAGCCCAGTCATTTTCGGATGGCCAACAAGGTTCCCACGGTCTACATCGACAGAATTGCGCTTCTGATGGACGTAATAAGTGTATCAATAGCGCTCCGAAGGCCACAAAGATACTGAAGTGGATGGCAGCGGCCATAATAGGGGAATTTGGAATTGCGGGATGTGGAAGGAGCAGGTCATCTGCCAGAGCGGACAATACTTTGGCTGCGAAGGCTACGCTGGATAATCAGAGATCGTTAGGTACATTCTGAATGAGAATGCAACTTTCGGAGGGCTAGGCGCAAGAGCCGGGGACGGGAAGCCAAGGCAAGGAGTTGGAGAACGCTAAGAAGACACTGACGTATGCTGTACAATCGGAATTTATGTATGATGCGTGATGCATCATGTCTGATGCATCATATTGCAGATATTGCATGAATCTCATCACGTTCTTGAATGCCTCTAGTAAACATTAAAAATTGTAACGGATCAAGGAAGAAATATGTAGGACTTCAATGATGGATTCTCAGATGGAGAAGAAAGCAGAAGGGGTGAGTTAGTTACTAGCAGCTCATAGTCCTCAATCTCGCAGTGGGTCGCCATCATAGTCGTCAGACTTGGCAAATATTTTGCAACTTCAGTCTCACACTTGACGCTCAGTACCGAAGTGAAGCAGATAACTACACTACATTCATATTTCGGGAAATTCTGCATCATTCATCCATCAGTTTGTCATTCTATCGAAGGTTTTCCCTATTCAACAGATCCTTCCCTTGCGTTGCATGTCACCCATATTGGCAAATTGTCTGTATCACAGCGACTATTTCTAGGTTTACTCCGCTCAATCCTCAGACTGAATAACTGGAAGTGGTTTGTGGTATGGATCGCAGTGAATATCAAGATAGATACCGTGCAATAGTTAAAGGTCATATCTTGGCTTGAGTTACATGCTCTCCTTCATCGCGATCTTTGCCCCATCGTCCTCGTCATTCAGGTCTACGTTCGGGTCTACCACCAGCAGAGGATCCTTCTTATCGACCCAGCCCTGAAACAGTTTCGAAAGACTGTATCCCATAAAGCGCTGTAGCCATTTCGGGAATTTCCGGACCGTCTCAAGATCATACGTCAGATACTGGTTCTCCACCTGGCGGAGATGACTTCGCGACGCGAACACGGCCGCCAGGACGCGCCGATGGTCAGTCGAGTGGTTGATGCTGCCGGCGTGTATGACACTGCTGAGCATCAGGTAAGCGTCTCCTGGGCGCATCTCCGCATACCGAACGCGCGGGTCGTCGTCTTTCGGGTGGTCGTACTTGTAGTCCCAGAGATGACTGCCCGGGATGAAGCGCGTGGCGCCTTGTTCGCGGGCACACTCGTTCAGCGCGACCATCATTGCACAGCCTGAGTCACGACCGAGACTGTATTCACTGGCGCCGGTGTTCCAGTTCTGCTGCGTAGCGTCGTCCCGATGAAGACCCTGGTTTCCGGATCCGGGATTCACGTACAGGGCCAGGGTTGAGTCCAGCTGGGGGGGACTCTGTATGCTCATCCAGGTGCCTTGCTCCGCCTATAGGAACGCCATCAGCTCAGTGGTGAGTCGGATACATGACACAGGCTCCTTACCCAGCATTCGTACGTAGACGTCAAGAAGTAGTTGCGAACCGCGGTGAAAACCTCATTTCCAACAATGCTTTCGGCATATGTTGGTGACTTGCTCAGCAAGCCGGAGACTTGACAGTAGTTTTTGGGAAAGCCTATAGCCGTTAGCTCAAGGCCACACGGCCGTGGCTGCTATTACTTACCCTCAAATGATGTCCCTTCCTGCTCCCATGGCTGGAGTTCCTGGCGAATTTTGTCGACAGTACTTTGATCGAGCAGATTTCGTACAATGCACACCCCGGCCATTTTCATCGCCTCTATGGCCTCGTTGGCGACGGCATCGCCGCTGGCCGATGATTTCAGTTCAATGACCGGGATCTCTGAGACCTTGGTCTCTTGGTACTGACTCTGAGGTTGTTCGACTGTCATATTGGAGCTCTATTAAATTCACACATGCACGTTTGGGTTCATCACCTTGAGACAGACGGAAAGGTAGAAGTAGTAAGCGATTTCTGCTTGTCTGCATATTCCTAGTGTGACGTTGCACAATCTTCCCTGCACCAGCCTCGCTTGCATCCCCTGATACCCATTTTCTTCCGCATTAATGCGTGCGCCGATCTTGCTGCCCTCCCCGAGATGTGTCAAGTTGCGGTCAGAAAGCTCCGACGTCAAAGTTTACGGTGCTGCATATATGACCGGTCACACCATTTCAAAACAAATACCTCGGGGTGCTTGCATATCTGCAGGATGTACGGATATGGCCCTTGGGTCAAGTCCCGGCTCCGAATACTCACACATGATCGCCAATACTGGGGCTGAGAGTACCTGTATAATTTTACCCACGTTCTCTCCCCCTTGCCTACGGCAGGATGGAGAGTAGTGTTCCCCTGTTGACTAGATCGGTCACAGCTAAGAGTTGTCCCTATGTCTGCCGCACCACCCATCACTTGGTCCCCTTCCACGATATATTTGACAGCAAACACTTTTGAACTCAAGATTACTAGCTCAATTGCTCTTGGAGGGAAAAATGGAACGTTCTTTGTCATTTGAGCCATACGTTCTAACCCCTTTGGACCACACCATAAAGAACTTTTATTTCTCTACCTTCGTATCCTTCCCACTACGTGACCCCGATGTCGCTGTTCCAGCACTGAAGGATGGCGTGGAGAGGCTGATATATGCCCTCCCAGCCCTATCGGGTGTGATGGCTTCTTCTTCCAGATTGCCTGGCAAGCGCAACGTGATCGAGATACGTCCTTCTCCAGAATCACTCGAATGGATCCCAATGCTGCAATTCAAATACCACCGGGATACCACCCTCGTTGCAACCTGTTCTCCTGGATCTTCAGGGGTTTCCTATTTCGATGAGTCGTGGTCTTCTTTGCCGATCGTTATTCCAGCAGGCCGACCAAGCCCTGTTGCTCGGTTTCAGGCACACGTATTCCCAGATGGAATCTTGCTTTGTCTGACACTCACCCACGCTGTTTTTGATGGAAGTGGTCTTGGAACAATTCTGAAGATGCTGGCAACATGCTGTATACATTTAACGACGCATCTCCCACTTTCTCTGCCAACTTCCTACGCAAAGGAAGCATCCTCGAGACAGATCATTCTTGACAGTGCACTTCCACCCTCTGCATCGAATATAGAGGCCTATAAACGGATGTTTGAATCTAACGACATTATCCCCGGCCTCGAGAAAGACGTCAGCTCCCGACGACTTTCGATTCCAGCCTCCAAAATCCAGGCTTTGCATGATGCGTGCAATGCCGCTAGGCCTACCGACCAAGAACCCATCCTTTCCAAGACTGATGTCTTGACGGCATTACTTGCCATCTGTATGAATCGAGCTCGGAAAACCAAGACCAACGGCCTCCCCTCCTCACTTGCGGTGCCCGTGAATTTGCGCAAAAAATTCCACCCTAGTCTTTTGGATAGCTACCTCGGAAACACCTTCATCACACTCATCGTCGATATCGATCCTCCAGCGGTCCACTCAGCCCAAAGATGCAGGACAACTCCCTTCCATGCAGATCTGAATGAACTCATGACCTTGTCTCTCCGGATCCGAAAACAATTGATTCTTCTTGACCAGAAAGCTTATACCGGAGGATTAATCTCTTACCTTCGAGAGCAATCTGACTGGGGGGCAACCAGCGTGAGATTTGCAGATATAACAGTGAGCAGTTTGAGATACTTAGGGATTAATGGTCTTGACTTTGGCCCGGTGATAGGCCGAGTCCATACTTTTGATTTACAGTCTGGAATGTACCCTGGTATCTGCGATATCTTGCCAAACCGTGCCAGTCACATGGATTATACAGGAGGTATGAATATAAGTGAAGCCCCTACGGATGTTGCTATTACGCTGGAAGGTTCCGCGTGGAGCGCCTTTATGGAAGACAGGCTGATGCTATGGGCCTTGGATGCTGGCTATCAAGGGACGGGTGAAAGGGCTCCACGGGTAGCTACTACCGTTAGCCAGCCAAAGATTTAGAAGTCACACCGAGCACAAACCCGCTGAGGGCGCTCAGGTTTCCTGTACCTCAGTTACGCACTACATAGATACATTGTTCTTCTATGGACTGGTCAATTCATGAGTTGGTGGTTTTGGATTTCTTATATCATTGCACAGCTAGCACGCAGTCAAGAGAATCTGAACGCAACATGTAGATCATTTGCCAACATCACGATCGGATCTCCACCGAATGTAGTTTACTAGACTGAGGTGCATGCACCATGTCCGAATCCTTTGCCCCATAGGTATAGGGGAACCTATCACTGCAGCATTGATTCCAGCAAGGATTCCAAAGCAGGCATCATAGCCCGCAGAATCAATACATGGGTTTGTGTAAAAGGAAAGTAGAAACCCAAACGCGCCTTTCAGTGATGAATATTATACAAACGCGCCTTTCAGTGATGAATATTATATGTACATAGGTAACGCACAGTCATCTGGACTTCCTAGCCCACCTTTATCACCATGCAGTTGCAGTCTTTGTGTGTTTGCATTCGCGGACCTGACGTATAATTAATTTGGTCTAAACGGCCTTTCATTATGTGGCTGACCAATAAATGAATGTCAGTAGCTGTTGAGACAACCCTCGTTAAGCGGCTACTTTTCCCAGTATCAGCAGAGCCCATCTCAGCATCCATTCAGACTCAACAATTTCCTGAGCAGTTTGAGGATTGGTTATTTACTGATTCGGTGTTAGGGAAACGAGGATTACTTTATTTTTCTATGTAGAGATCCTAAAGAATAACAAACTCATGCGCACGTATTCAACCATGAGTGACCTGTTGTGAGTGTTCTATTTATGGGGAGCAGCTAAGTAAAGTTGATGCTGCGATCCTTTCTCTCCACCTTCGCGTTCAAACAGAATTGCCATATTAGCTGGAATGGTAAAGACCACTTTCAGTATCGTGGACCATATTTGTCTGCTTGACCTTTCCATTCTTGAGGAATCCGTTCTCCACAACTCCACCACCTGCCACATTGTCCGAGTTTCGTTCCAAACGATTCTCGCCGCTCTTAACAGTGAAGTTGGCCAGGGAGATCTCCCCAGCATTACGCTCCTTAGTGGTAGGCACGCCGAAGAAATGAGCTCCGACTTGCTCTGGGGTGATGTGGAGTTCAAAGTATCCGCGGTAGTATCCCTCAGACCAATGCAGCGACTCACTGTCAGTGACAATTCGCTCGGAGATGTTGTTTGCCGCAGGAATAGTGGTGTTTTGTCCGAATGAGGAGGGAGAGCTGACGGCCGATCCGCCGAATTCCACACCGATGGCGCCGGCGCCGCTGGTAGAGTTATACGGGTTGTGGTCGAGCCATGCCAGATCGCTAACCCAGTTAACGTGAGTATCTCCTGCGATGACGATGTTGTTGCCAATATTGTTGTCGTAGAGTGTCTGCAAGGTTCTGTTCTTGCTTGCCATGTAGCCATCCCAAGCATCCATGTTCAGTGGTTGTTCGGGCCCAAGCGAGGCTGACATATTTAATTGAGAGAATACTGCAATAATCCCGTTAGTGAAAATTAACATCTGCAAGCTTTAAATCAATGAAGACATACTGATTTGGCTGCCGAGGATGCGCCAGTGAGCACCACGCTCGGCTGACTCAATTAGATTACGCTGCAGCCAGTTCTCCTGACGGCTTCCCATCAAACTACGACCGGCGTCATCTTTGATCGCGTTGATGTAGTTAGTGTTATCGTAGGTATCAGTGATGGAGCGGTCGTATTGTCTGGTGTCCAGCATGATCAGGTCCACCAATTTGCCAAGCTTGAAGTTTCTCCAGATGCGGAGGTTATCGTCCATCTCGACTTGTCTAAAATCGGTTAATACATACAACTCGACACTATTTGCTGGCGACTCACCTGATGGGCATCCATTCGAAGTAAGCACGGACGGCGTTCATCTTACGCTGGTCAACGGAGACACCTCCGTCCTGAACGAATGACTTTTCGTCGTTTCTGAGCTTCGCGGAGCCATCCCGGTAGGTGTTGTCGGCCACCTCTGCTGCAATTAGAATTCACGCACATCTCCCTTTTGCGAATGAAATAGGGCCATACCGTGGTCGTCCCAGACAGGAATCCAAGCAAAGTTCTGATGACTGGCTAGCAGATCCAAGTCGGTTCTGTAGGTGGCAATGCGCTTGCGGTAGTCATAGAGGGTGAGGATGGTTCGGTCCGGCAGAGGGATGCGTCCCAAGCTGTTACCCCAGCCACTGAATCGAAGATTAGCTATATGGTCGAGAATCTTGAGTTGATTCACTTACTAGTCGCCATTCTTGTATTCGTAAAGGTAATCACTGTACACAGTCAGTTTGAGCTCTCATGCAAATATCAAGCGCTACTTACCCGAGATGGACGACATAGTCCACGGAATCCTTTCGCACAGAATGTCCGTAGGCATTAAAGAACCCGAAGGCTTTACTTTTTGTTAGTTTGTCTTCAAACACGGGTCGACACAGAGACATACGGAAGTTGGCACAAGAGTAAACGGCCAAGTTGACCTGGTCGACCTCCTTCTTCGAATCAGGAGCTGTCTTGGTTCTTCCAACGGGGCTCTTGTTGTCCGAATTACAGACTTGGAACTGATAGAAATAGGTCGTGAATGGCTTCAACTTGGATGCTTCGACCTGGTAATCCAATGAGTGAGTTTCCAAGTTTCTGATCCATGAATAGCTTGCTTACCTTGACAGTGTAGTCAATGTCGGAACTAGTGTATACAGTACCTTCGGCTGCAATGTGCTTGAAGCTCTCGTCTTTAGATACCTTGTAATCCAAGCAGACAGGAGCATTCGATACAGCCACCTGCTCCGCATCTTCATCCCCTGAGTATATCGGGACAGGGTTGTACAGCGGAACAAGACCATTCGTAGAGCTATTAGAGTGAACATCATCGAAAGTCGGCGAGCAACGAGTCCATAGAATCACTGAGTCTGCATAAGGATCTCCAGAAGCAACACCATGGGTGAAGTGTAACTTGGAAGGGTCAAAGGACGAGCCGGGGACCCCGCGCTTCGCAACTCGGTGAATCGAGACACCCAGCCCTGGATGGTGCTCCGACGGACTACGGTAGTTCAGGTTGCCTGAGTAGCTCGCAGTGGCTGCAGCTGCAGATGACAGCACGATAGACCAGGAAAGCTTCATATTGGGATAAACAAGCCAACTGGGTAAGAGCTTGAGAAGTCAAAGGGGTCGGATTTCCTCTGTGACTGCTACCTAACTGGCGCTTGCCCTGCTCATATATAATCGAAGGAAAATTGCGGTGGTTTTCCATTTTGAAAGTACCTATGGACGGCATAGTCACAACCACCTCGGGGCATTCAACATTTAATTTGACGTTTGTGATGATCAACGAATCGGAATGATCAACAGCGACATGACCTTGCATCTCGGTAGGATCGGCAGGGACATGGACTAGCATGTACAGAAAATACCTAGTTCTCGGTTTGATGGTTCAGGAACATGGTGAGCCACGTGAAACTATAAGATCTGTCACTGGCAGATTGGATGTAGTGCCAAGTGCCCAGACATTACCGAGATTTAGCCAAGAGCTTTCAACTTTTACATCCCCCCCGTGGTTTTGATCTAATTAGTAATTAATCTAACTAAATAGGACCCCAGGCTGTTATCCAAAATATTGACAATTTTACTCCGTACTTTTTATCCAATTGCCGAGAGTATCGGAGTTTTATGCGTATTTGAGCGCTAAATCTAAAATGGTGGGGCTAACCAGAAAAGGAAATTCATAGTTAATATGGAGGTGAGCCTTGGCCCTTTCTATATTGTACTCCGTAAACATCTATAGCATAAGGATATTATTTCCAATGCTAGTACCTACAGGCCCTTCCACTCCACCACACCAATAGACATCTTCCCTTGTCCCTTGATTGGACTCCCCATAGCCCAGTCCTTGAATATACCGGCCTCCTCAAAGTTGTTCTTCTCAAATACTCTCCGGCTCGCTGTATTCTCAAGATAAAAGCTACCCTTAAGACGATGAAGATTCATCCGAGGGATAGCCCAGTCATGAATGATAGTCCGAACAGCAGCACTCATAAGTCCCCGGCTGTGTAAATTAGGGGAAAGATAGTCTATAAATATTGTCAGCAATTGACCTCTCGAGTCCAGCTGGGGTGTTCATACATCCGATACCCCAGACGATATCCTTGTGTCCCGCCGGCAAGTCATTATTATGCTTCTGCACTAGCGCACGCTCCCAGCTAGTGGGTCGTAACTCATAGAAAGCATACCGCTCTAGTGTGAAGTCTCCGATCATGACATCTCGAACTGGAGCGCCTGTCGTAGGATCCCTTTCTGTCACTTCGCGTATGCAAACAAAAGGGCATTTGTCGAAGAACTCCCGTTCCCCGTGGACATTTGGATTGTCGTCTTGCAATTGACTCTTTGTTTCGAATTCTTTTTGCAGAGTAGAGAGGATGTCTTTGTATTCTGCTACTTTCATTTTGATCCAGTCTACGCCATGCTCGGGCAGGAAGGGGTAAGGTGGCCCCTGTAGCCAGTAATACACGCGTGGGTCGTTGAGCATTTCGGTCATCGCAGCAGATGTCTCCTCGATCTGGTGTTCACGGTGTGGGGTCATGATGATGTTTCCACATGGTTCTGGGAGTTGGAGATAGGGCTCTTTGGTGATCGGGTTATACTGGACCATTTTGACGAACAAACCCTAGACCAATTGTAAGAGTTTCAAGGTTGATTGTCTATACTAATTCCTGATGTTCACCTTAAATAGAATTACATTTCGGTGAGTCTTCACAAAGCCCCGTGAGTCACTCAGCCCTCGGAAGCTAACCGATTGTGGGCAACAACACAAGGTCCGATGTTACTTTGTTGATAAGCAGCCAACTTTGTTTTAACATTTGGCTTATTACTTCTTTCTTGTTCCGATATCGCTTCACACTTCGTGGATATTTTGCCCAAAATCACATAAAGTGACCCAGACGACATGCAAAAAGTATGAGAAATATCAGAATCAATGGTTCCAACGAAAAAGAGCTCATCGATCTATACCACTCTACCATATGCGCATGCACCGGGCCGGGGTACCGTAATGTGCTCTGGTGCTCTGGCAAGTCGACGGCGACGTATTGCAAGCATACATGCAGCTGGAACCTTGGGGCAAACGAGGTATACAATATATGGGTGCATTTGTATGTGGGTAGTGTCAATTAAATAGTCCGCTGGGAAGATTGAAAAAAAAAGGGAGCGCTTCGTAATGTTCTACAATACACAGCCCTGGAGACTCTGCCAGGTGTCACTGTCATCTCGAAATGCCATAGTACTTTCGCTTGGGTATATGAATGCTAATTTACCGGCACCCGACTGGTCAATTGCTCCAGACGCCCTGCCAAGGCTCGATGTTTGCGCATGACCTCCTCCCATTCGTACGTCATATCTTCGGTATCTTCCTCCCCGCTCAACTCGGTCAAGATCATGCCAAAGTCACCGCCAAGACGACCGAGACTTGCGGCACAGTACAAAAGCTGGGTGAGGAGACTTTCCCTCGAACTCCGATCTCGGACGTTGGGGAGATATGAGCGCATTGTATCCGTGAGTAGTTGCACGAGATGCATTGGGAAAGTAGCTAAAGCCGGGGGTAGACGTTGCAAGGGGTCATCTGAATGTGCTAGCTTTGACTTGGCCTTGGAGTGGGTGTCTGCACCTCGTAATCCCGATATCGCAAACTCGGATTCGGATTGCTCGGAGTTAAAAATATTCTTGTATAGCGAGACAATTGCAAAGCTCTGCTCACGGAAGATCTCGATGTATCTTTTTAAGTAGCGGTCAGTCTGCTGACCGCTGGACCACGAGGTCGTGTCTAGTTTGTCTTTGCCACCGAGCCTTCGCTGCGTTTCTTGGTCCGCGAGCTCACGGAGGGGGTCTAGAGCTTCAAGTGTCGAGACCAAATGCGCTAGTCTGCAGACAAGGAAGATGGCACCAAGAGCGCCTTCTCCTGTTCCGACTGCACCATCACTCTGGAGCATCTCTAAATCCGGGGCTACTCGCCGTAGCCAACCCACAGTTCGGATACCAGCTGCTAGCCGCAGGTTCTGGGCTCGTAGCCCCGTGATCAGATTACTTGTCATGTCCTTCATAGCATCCTCCGCCTGGGATGCAACATCTTGAATCAATGGCGATTCAGGGTATAGTGTTTGTAGTCGCTTGATATGTGCATGCAGGTCGAGTGCAGATGAGTAGGTTGTAGAGGAGACACCAGTACCGGAGTTGACTGAGGCCGCGGACACGGCTTTGGATAGCAGACTCGGTAGTTCCAATATGTCTGACAATCGATCAACATTGCGAGAGAGCTGCATTGCTTTCTTCCGTCGTTCTAGGGCGGCGTTGTCTGTGATTTTACTGTACTTGGTGGAGAACCAAACGGCCTCCTCGTCGAGTTTGGGGATAGCATCACGCAGTTGTTGCGCCTCGCGAGTCAACTGTGGAACAGATGTACATAGTGTCGACAAATTATCGGCAGAGGTAACAAACGCCTGATGCGAACGGTTCGATAGGGCTTGAAGGGATAGAAGGGTCGAATGGGAGGATTGGGCGAGCGATGGGGGTTCTGTGGTCTGGAGAGCTTCAAGAGACAATGTTGAGAGGCGAGTGAGATATTTGTCGGTAGTTATATCATGTGATTGATTTGGATCTAGATGTGGAGCGAGTAGTTCCAGCAAATCGGCCATGGCGAGTTGATGCTATTCGGAAGTTGCGTAAAAGAGACGCGCTGAATGGATCACCCGCCGTTGGCCCGTGCGGGTCACTTGTATCAACTGGAATGAACTTTTTCTTTACTTTTTTTATTTCTCTCTCTCTTCACTGATTTTCCACTATAGATAGATTGTTATTTCAGTCATCACTGCTCTTTTCATTTCTCTGTCTTTCTCTTAACGTCTTTCTTGTTGCAAATACAATCCTTCTACTAGCCCCTCCCCCGCATTCGCAGCCCATTACATTCCCCATGACCCTTCCATCATGGGGAAGCCAAGGGTGAGTCTCCATCTTTAGGAAATTGGGATGTCTCTTGAATTAAACTAACCCCTTTTCCCTTGTAGATGATCATTCTAGTGCGCCATGCACAGTCAGAAGGCAACAAAAATCGCGACATTCATCAAACCATTCCAGACCACCGTGTAAAGCTCACTCCTGAAGGATATCGACAAGCCCAAGATGCAGGCCGTCGATTACGGGATCTCCTCCAGCCGGACGATAAGCTTCATTTCTTTACCTCCCCATATCGGCGGACAAGGGAGACTACAGAGGGAATTATTGAATCCCTAACCTCCGATACACCTTCTCCTTCACCTTTTCAAAGGCACACGATCAAAGTTTATGAAGAACCACGGCTACGAGAACAAGATTTTGGTAACTTTCAGCCATGTTCCACAGAGATGGAGCGCATGTGGATGGAACGAGCAGACTATGGTCATTTCTTCTACCGGATTCCCAATGGCGAGTCTGCAGCAGATGCCTATGACCGAGTGAGTGGGTTTAACGAGTCCCTCTGGCGCCAGTTTGGCGAGGATGACTTTGCCAATGTCTGTGTTCTTGTTACGCACGGACTTATGGCACGGGTGTTTCTCATGAAGTGGTATCACTGGAGCGTGGAATACTTTGAGGACCTTCGTAACATCAATCATTGCGAGTTCCTGATCTTGACCCACAACCCAGAAAATGGAAAATACACACTACAGAACAAGCTTCGCACCTGGTCAGATCTTCGAAAAGACCGAGATCGTGAAAATGCATCCAAAGAGCAGTTTCCTACATCCATCCCGCCTGCTGGTCATGCCGCCGTTACAGAATATATTCCAATTCGGCGCAAGTGGGGCGGCTGTCCCGACGGCTGTACTCACGGATTGACTGCAGATGGAAAACAACTGTTACGAGCAAATCTACTGAATTCCATGCGTCAGGAGCATGCCTATGCTCAAGCAAAGCACGCGGATGATCACGCAGGGAGTTTTGGGTCCAAACTTCACAAATCTATATCCATCGACGAGGTCGTATCATCCTCAGAAGAAAGTGCAGTTCATAATGATACCACCCACAAATCCAGCACTCGGCGTGTCTCCAACACGCAGCACATACTTCGCGACGATGACAACGGAGACACCACGAAGCAATATGAGTCTGCCTCAGAAGCCCGGCCAAGCGTGAATCCATTGCATCCAAAACGGCCGAACTTGCATGGAGTGAACCGAAATAGCGAAGATCATCTCCTCCACCCACCAACAGCCACTTCTTCAGCTTCGGCGCACCTAAAGTATGCCCTCCTTCACCTTGGCGGCCGGGACGGTGGAGGCTCAATGAGCGGAGCAAATAGCCTCGCCCCATCTGACGATGAAGGCGACGACCATGACCACCACCGCCACGCTGCACCAGCCTCTTCCAGCCTCGCCACTGGCAATCTGTCCCATGCGAACCAGCAACACTTCGAATTCCCGTCCAGCGAGCAAACTCAACGGCCACCTCCCTCTCAGGACGTTGAAGATGATGGCGATGATGAGATGAGCGGCAATCCGACGGAGAAATCTAAGAAGACTCGCCTACACCATCACCATCACCACTATCATCACCACCATGTTTCTTCTTCCACTGACCAATCTGAGCACCGCATGGCCAATATCCTAGGCGACGGAGACGAATCGTCCAACCACTCAGAACCAAAGACGCAACGACCAGAAAGTTCATCAACAGATTCCCCGTCTCATCTGCACATCGAGGAATTGTCCTTAGAGGAGCGCCAAAAGCAAGATCAGAGCATTCAAGGGAGCGTCTACTAGTGCCGTCCCAGCTGATATCTTCACTGCTTCATACGTCTACATTCTTGTCTCTTTCTTCTCTGCATCAACCCTTACGACCCGCGACGACTTGTCTGGATGAATTTTGATTACCCACTAGTACAACTGCATTTTACCTATTTCTTATTTCAGCCTGAGGGCCCTTGTCAGTGTTAGGCTAGAAGTACATTCTATCACAAAGATAATTACAAGATTGACTACTGGTTCATTATTAGCCATTGTCCTAAAGGAAACTGCCACGTAACCCTGGAGGTCATTATATCTAGCGAATGCAAGCGAATAGAGGGCAAAGGCTCCTCGAGGAGAAGATACGAGGGAGATCTTGATCAGAGGCCTACAACAAAACGTGAAAGGTTTGCAGTCCGAACAATGACATAGTTTGTCACTAATTTTCTGATATATCTCCAAGAAACTGCAGATCAACAGCCACAGCTAGACGCCAGAAGCCAGACCATCGCATGGCCAATGGGGACAGTAAATGCGATGGCTTTGACTTGCCGGCAGTGCCGAATAGCAAAGGGCAGATAGATAGAAGCAAGCCGAAAGAGAGAACAAATCAGGTGGACTACATAGTTCTGTCAGTCGCGAGGACTGATTGGACTCTCAGAGCGAGATCAGATAGAAGGTGCATATAAGGTACCGACACCTCCCCGGATACATGCGAAGGTATCACAGGAAGGGAACCCAAGATAGCGTTTGTCACCTGTGACAATTGAGAGAGATGTGAAAGTGATGGAATACACCACGCGACTTATGAAGGGGTGGAGATGATCCTTGAATTGTTGATCTTATTGATTGGAGAAAGCTCTTCAGAGAAAGAAAAATCAAATCGAAGGAATCGAAGAAGAAAAAAAAAAAAAAAAAAAAAAAAAAAAAATAAAAAGAAAAAAAAAAAAAAAAAAAAAAAAAAAAAAAAAAAAAAAGTGTGAATGAACAATTGAAAATGGAGATGAGAAGTGAAAAAAATGATTAACGTCAGGCACTGCATGTAGGCGTGGCGAATGGGGATAATGTACCGAGATGAAATGAAAGTAAAAGAAGAAAGCACTCTATGGGTAATCACCGGGAGACACAAATGCCAGGCATAAAACAAAAGGACCAAGGATATAAACCGAAGTCGTGGGTAATGAACAAAGAAGTCAGATTTTGGGGATTCGTGATAGTCGTGACTGCGGCCCCGGCAACCTTTGCAAATACGGACCCGATGAGACTGAAAGTGTTGATGAAATCAAAGTGATATCAGTATAACAAGGTGAGTCAAGATTTTGCATCGTGGGCCTGCCGGGAGCATGCCAATGTCCGCTGTGGGAGCGTTTTTTCCTCTTTTTTTTTTCCATTTTTGAGATTTTTTTCGATTTGCCAAACGAGAACCAGCGGACGCAGAACAAAAGTACTTTTTGGAGACGCGGTAGGCCAATTGCTCAGAAGCAAGTGATGCTAAACGAGGCAAAGGTCGCAAGGCGCAAGGTTGGAAACAATTCAAGCAGAAGAGGGAACGGTATCGAAATAAATCCCATGCGAGTCGCCCAAACAAACGTTGAAAGAAGTCTAGAGTTGCATTAAGAAGAAATTCAAAGAAGTAGCAAGACTCAGAGTCTTGAACCGTGGGCACCGTCTGTTCCATCCGGGGTCGTGGACAGAACATGCCGAGTATCGTCAACTAGGTTGCGATCATCGGCTGCTGCATGGAGGGAAATGCATTGTTGCACATGTAGTGCTCAAGATGCTTGGCACAGTACGTGCAGCCGCACGATGAACCATGGCCCGTCCAAAGACTCTGTGCGAATGGCAATCCATACGCTGGAGTGTGATGATAGGATGGGGGCTGGGATCGAGGAGCGGTGTGAGCCATGTACTGTGAGGGTGCGTGCCAGCCCCGCGAGTAGGGCGGAGGGGGAGGCGGGTTAGCGTATCCCCAAGGACCAACCGAGTAGTAATCGGGGGTAGTGGGCCCGCTGGAAAGGGCAGAGGGGGGCGAGTATTCGGACGCGGTCGGGTTGAGCCAAGAGTTCTCAATTTGCGAGCTGCGCTGGTACTGCGGTGGGATAGGGCCTTCGGGGGACATAAGGGGTTTGGTGATACCTTGGCCGCGGACTACATTGGTCTCAATAGGCGCCAGAGTCTGGCGAGACTCTTGAGCTCGAGCCGTTGCCTTGGCCCGCCAGGTATCCCAGTGCGCGCGCCACGAGGCGAAACCATCCTGCTTGTCGTAGATGCGGTCGTGAATCTTCCAGTCGAATGCAAAGAGCCATTCCAATTCCATGTGGTTCAATTCAGCAACGGGGATGTTGCTGACCTCAGCCCAGGATTTGTTCTGGAAGGTGTTGTCATCAAGGAACTTGCTGCCCAACAGAAGAGCCACAGTCAACATGCGGTAGACCTGGCTACTGTCTGTCTTGGTGAAGGCGCGTCGGGCTGACAACAGGCGAACGCGGCTGGCCAGATAGAAGAGACCGAGCAGAATGGTAGAACTTGGGAGGCGTGTCGAGGATAAAATCTGAAAGACGTATTTCCGAAACTGAGGGGGAACCGAAGATCCTGGGTAGATACTTCGCACGAGGTCAATATCTGCTAGGGTGATGTTGGTCTCGAACAAATCATACATTCCCTGAGCCATCTCTGCCACAAAGTCGGACATGCGATCCATCTCATAATCCAGGTGAGCTGCGACACCTCCAGTAGCCTTCTCCTCCTTGCGGGGTTGTTCGGGCTGCTGTTGCATCGGGGCTTCTTGTCGGCGATATTGAGGCGGGATCGTAGCATCCATGGGCGGAAGTTGGACGTTGCTGCGGATTGAAGGCAATCCAGTACCAACCATGGGGTTGAACATAGGCTGCTGGTTCATCATGTGATGATCGCGAGCAGTGTTCATCGGGTGGACGGACTGGTGAATATTCATCGAAGTGGGTTTGGCGTAGCACAGTGATTGCGAGTACTGTTCGATGAACTCATTGCCGCTTTGGTGGTAACGAGGAGGGAATCCTGCGTGACCAACCGGGTAGAATGATGGGTCTTCCATACGACCACCATTGACATGGGGAGGCGTAGGCAGGCCATGATGACCTGGGACGAAGAAGGACGGCATCTTGGGGGGAGGGGAGGTTGCCAGTTCAGGACGGGGAGCTAGACGTATTCTGTTGCTAGGGAAAGCGAGGAGTCAGTACACAAGGCCTCCGGGGTAGGCAAAAGCCAGATAGACCAGGAGACAGTTGAAGAAATAAGGATACGAACCGTCTACTCCACCAGATCCTGATTCTGGGGGGAGGAAGAGGAGAAGAGCGGTGCTCTGCGAGCGGGTCGCTCTATCGTATTCCTAGGGGGCAGTCTCTAGTTGAATGACATCGAGGTTCGTTCAATGATCCAGTGGACAAATGACGGGTTAAATGAGAATTGGAAGGAACGTGATGAACGGTGAACGATGACAGTCCTCGCTTGGAGTGTAGAAATGACTCTGGGAGGAAAGGTGATAGATCACAGTCCGGTCAATTCAAAGTGCTTGAGAGGCGAATAACCAGGTCGAAGCGAAGTGGAAGAGCACACGTAGCAGGGTGAACTGAACGCGCTCGGAGAAGAGTGGAAGGAAAAAAAATTTCCCCACACGTAGACACAAACCTCACAGAATGAGGTGATCAACGACACTTAGTGAAAAGCTCGTTGACACGGGAGAGGATTGATACAAAAAAGAGGTTGAGAAGAAGGATGAAGAGAAGAAAAGTGTATAGGGGGCGTTGTGTGGGAAAAGGCCGTTGGGTTGCCCCGGTAATTTTACATGTATTTGGTATACATGGAAGGAGTCACTGGGGCCCACATATAGAAATTCTAAATTTAAAAAAAGTTACTACGCACATTGTAAGATAAATTAGTATGTATACAACATTGAATGTACATTGGAATAATAATTGAAAATAAATCTATAGCATTATATTCATTTTTAATTTTTCTTCACGTTTGCTTTTCTCACTTTTTCTTCCTTTTTTTTCTTTTTTTCCTCTTTTTTTCAAAAATCTAACCGGTGTTCCCAGTTTAGAATGGTGTACGGAGTACAGTGTAATTGTATTGTAACGTTCATATTAAAAAGGCCCTAGACCCCTAAGGCAAATCCGGTGATGCAACGCCCGTGTCACTGGTTCTCACTGGTATTGTATTGGACTTTAAAAAAAAAAAAAAGGTTACTCCACTGACTCGTTTCACTCTTAGTCAGCTCAGTTATATTTTAAAATATCAATAGCAAATAGTAAAAAGTAAGTGTAAACTGAATAGTGAAATATCCTATGCTAAATGGTTTATTCAATGTTGTATCTATTTAAATATATATATATATTATACTCTATAAACAGTTGATCGCATTCCCTCCGTTGCTCAGTCTACCCCCCTACAATGCGACATGCAGAAATGCTCATCCGAACTCTTCCACATGTACCCACTATGAACAAACCCCAAACATGGAGTACTCCGTACAGAGTACAAAGTACAACGGAGTAAGTAACCTTACAGTCGGGTCATTTACTCCATATTATCCCTATGAATCACACGCATCCATTACCCTGTACAACCAAGCAAGGGCAATATCATGCATCTGACAAGCACTCCATCTACGCTCCCTCTTCTCTATCTCTTGAAGTCACAGTTTAACCACATAGAGAGAGGCATTGCTCTGACTCACCGTAAATAACTCCAACCTCGGCGAAGGATCTGGATGTTGATCCCTGCAGCGTCATGCTGCATGAGTGGACTACACGTAGCTCCTCCTCGAAGCAAAGACAGTGTCTTGGTATTTATCCCAAGCGACATCTATTTATGTGCCTATCTACGGAGTATGTTGTACTTAAAAGGCGTATTCTCCCCCCAAAAAAGAGTCCCGCATATATTGAACTCATTTATCTGAGGGTCTAGAAATTAATCTTTAAATACTTTAAAATACAAGCCCGTGCGTAATGTATTCTAGAAAAAAAAACAAAAGTCACTCGGACCTCGTGCCTTGC